TACATTGTACATGAGAACAATAATTTCTAATCATAAATTGAAAAGCATAGTTTTCAACAACCATAATGATATATGAAGCACAAAAATCTATCATATCTTCATAGGTTTCTTCTAAAAGCTTACCTAATTCACTTCTTACAACTGATCCTTCCTTTGTACCACCTACTTCATTCACAACACATTTTGCAAAAGAATTTTCAACTATATTACAAACCTAAATACTAATTGTAATAATTCTTATTCTTCCTTCCTGATTTGTTACTATTGTGCTGGTATCTTGCTTTTAACCCCTTGGAAACAGACCATTAGGAATGAAAGCAACCATAGTACTAATAACATTAAAAAATGAAATGAACTGATTCTAAAGATAACACATCAAAATCACCTGCATCAATTTGAGAAGGATATACTTCTGAAAAAAAAATATAACACTTCATTGGAATATTTTATTTTATTTTATAGTCTTCTTAATTATTTTATAAGTAAAAAAATAAAAAATTTCTTAATACATTTAAAATAAATTGAAAATAGATTAATAATTAAAGAAAAGAGAAATTTAATAAAATTATAAGGAGGTGCTTAGCAAAAGTCATTAATAAAATTTACCTTTGTTTTAATATATTTATATATTTAATAATTTGCTATGTGTTGCATGTAGTAATGCTTGGTTTGCTTAATAGTAGTGTTATTTCTACTTATGAATCTAATTGATCATATAAAACTTTATAATTATAAACTTGTTTATAATTTATAAATACTAGATTAATCTTATTGCATATCAACCATTAGATGGTAGAATAAAAAATAATATACTAGAAAGTGTTTAAGCAAATTTATAAATTATAAACACAAGATTAATCTAAATGAATAACAGCTATTAGATGGTAGAATATCCTAGAATATTCTAGCATGTTCTAAGTCCCTTTACAGGTTTTTTCAAAAGTTCAAATTTAAAGTAATAACTATCAATGTGTAAAAGTGGCTGTTATGCGGATTTTAGCACAATTATACACTTTACTTTTTTAGAATCTCATATTTTTAAAACTGATTAAGGATCCTATTAAGCAAAACAAGCACTACTTTCTCTTGCTGATAAAAAAGAGCTATGGATAAATTTGAAAACATTTTTTAATCTGTTAGAAATAAACAACTTCACACAGATCATCAGATATACCTAGAACGAAGTTAACCCTCAAGATTTGTTCACTAGATCAATTTATTTTATCATAACTTTGACTTACAAGCAGTTTCTTGCAAACTTTGCTCGCTCAAGAGTGATCAACGAAAGGTATATTAGTGAATCAAGATTTCTGTGCAAAGATAAAAGCATTTCCCATATGAAACTCACTCCAACACTTAACAATCAGGATGGTAAGCAATGAAATGCTAATTTTGTGATGGGATTTGTAACAATATGTTCAAAATATTTATAAATTGGGTTCATGAGACTCAAGTGTGTTTCTATTTGCATTCATGCAAGATTCCATACACAAAGGACTTGCAAATTAAAGCCAAGACCTCTTGCATCTGAAGAAAGAATCATAACACTAGACCAAATGCCCATTAAATCTCTCATAAAGATTGAAATCCACACTAATTCAACCATCTTTCCTAACAAACTTAAGTTATGCAACTTGTATATCATTGCAAAAAATATTCTCTGGTCTGATAAGATTAAAGGGTGTTAATAATTTGTATTATAGAAACATTTGGCTTGCTTATTCCTTTTCTAATCTCTTATTTTGTATATCTTTAATTTTTTTATCACTTTTAAAATAAAAAATTTGATAAGAATCCTACTAAAAAAAATAAATTTAAAATAATATGGTTTATTAATAATTATACTATTTATTAATTTTTGTAAATACAAGTTATTATTTTCAACTAAAATGCTAGGCAGAAAAGGAGCTGGCTGAAGTTTGATGTCATTTCTTTGAGCTAGCAATCTTCACTGGCTATAACACAAATACTGAAAGCTCGATTGGATATGGGTTGTATGAGCAAATTCCCAGCTAGGTTCTGGTTTTTAGTAAAGTTTCATTTTTCCTTTAGTCACTAGATTATGAAGTTCAAGTGATTCTTCTAGTTTTGTTGCCATATTGTTTCCCATTATTTGCAGCATATGGCTTGAGCAGTCCAAGAGCATTTACAAATCCTCGAGAGAGCTTGAGCATATCTTTTTACTTTGATATTTTCCAAATATTGGCAGGATTCACAATTTCTTCCATCAACACGCATGGGCATAGCAATCCGAGCATAAACCAAAGATACGACTTTTTAAAATGAAATGCAGTCATAACCAGCAAATCTTTTATTCACTATAGCGCAAATGTTGGTATCATGCAGAATGATCTGCGTTATTATGCTACAAAAATTCATGAGCGAGCATTTTCTCAGTCGTCGAGTTCAATAATCTTAACGACCGACGAGTCTCCAAGCTTCTGGCACACGACGATTCTGTCGTGAGGTTTGATGATTCCTGCCACTTTGCCGTGATCCAGGGCCACTCTAAGAATCGACTCATTTGTAGTGCTATTGGACTCGGCCTGCAAGAACAACAGTCCAGTAAAACGTATCGACGCTGTATCAAACGTACCGGATGGCGAGGATCCGCAAGCATTGGAAATAGCCCTCTCACAGCCAAGCATTGCCTTGCCTAAACAAGTCCTTAAAATAAACAAAGAAGGAAAGAGGTCCAACGTGAGTACCTGGAAAGCTCCTATGAACGTCCAGCGCAAATGGTTCGTAGTGAGCCTTGGAATAACAAGCACGAGCACAGGCATTGGTGGCCTGTACTTTGCTATAAGCCTGCTCGGAAGCAAAGACACACTGTTGGCAATCCAGCTCAATGAAGAGACTGTACCTGGCAGCGCGTCCAGAGGAGCTAAACACAACAATAACGGACGCCTTGACCTTAACAGCAGCTCTCACCGCCGAGGACGCAATGGATTCGAGGTGAGACATTGGTTCTCCAACTTTCTTGACGGTTTTCTTAAAGTAATTAGCATGGTTGTAGACCTTCTCAGCCTGCAATAGTGGTTTTTAGCATTCCAGAAACAACGAAAAAATAACGAAGAAAGAACTCGGATACATACCTCAGCGCATATCTTGCGCACTGTAGAGATTGTCTCTATCGGGTAGAGTCCGCGTAGTGTCTCTGCCCCGAGTAAAATAGCGTCGGTACCTGCAAAGACAATTTGAAACATGCAAATGAGCAGAAGTGACAAAAACACGCACCATCAAGAACAGCATTAGCCACGTCAGTTGCTTCAGCACGCGTTGGTCTTGGGGTGTCAGTCATGGTGTCCACGACACGAGTTACAACTGCTGGCTTCCCAGCCATATTACATTTGTACAAGGCTGCCTTTTGAAAAAGAAAGACCTGGGAAAGCACGGAGACGTTAGCCACACATCAAGTTAAAGAGACGATGCTCTTACTTTTTCGGGCTGGAGATCAATCCCCAGATTTCCACGTGACAATATGATGCCGTCGGCTTCCTTCAATATTTCATCGAAGTGTCTCAACCCCTGTAATACGAAAACATTTAACCAACAACATTGATTGATAGATTTCGAAACGTACTTCGATGTTTTCAATTTTTGCAAAAACATGCGTCTGCTGAAGATCTCCGAGTTGTGCAAGAAACTCTCGGGCCTGTAAAGCGCTCCAGTTAAAAAAATTTCAAGATTTCAGCGGGAGACTCACCTTTCTCACATCTTCAGCATGTCGAGTGTAAGAAAGCGATAGAAAGTCAATGTTGTTACGCACTCCCCATGTGGAGATTATCTGTATTCACCAAAGCATCAAGCAGTGAATCTCAACCTCATCAAGCGCTTACCTTCTTGTCCGATTCACTCAGTGTCGGCATTCCAATATGCACTTGAGCGGCATGAGCGGTGAACAAGCTGCCAGTTAGAGTAGCACTGTTCTTAACTGTGCAGATCACATCATCCCCTTTCGTTTCCGCAACCTACGTAAATTCATGTCAAAACACGAAAACGCACAACAGAAATGTCGCAAACCTCTAGCCACACGGAAGTTGTCTCACTTCCAGTGAACAGGTATTGACCCAAAAAGATTGTGTCCCCCGGTTTCACAGCCTGAGTTAAGGCCTGTTAGCAATGCATACATTCGAGCCGAGCTGACACTTACCGATGCAAGGTCAGCAAAATTTAAGGGTAGGATTCCAGAAGAAGCCTCAATGACCATGTCGTCAGGGGTCAATGTTACCAACGAATCAGCCTCCAAGGCGATGCTTTTCTCGCCTCTGTTCACTACTTGTAACTCTGGACCAGTTGTATCGAGCATCACCTATAAAAGAAAGAGATACAAGAGCTATTAGGCAACCAAGAAAGAAAAAGAAGAAACCATCCAATACATACTCCACAAAGCTTCTTCGTGTTCTTGATAGCCTTCTTAAGATTCTCCAGTGTTTCCTGGTGGTAGGCATCGTCCCCCCACGAAAAGTCGATTCTCGCCACTGCTCAGAGCAAGATTACAATCACGCACTCACAACATAGAAGAAATTCCACTACCTGACATTCCAGCCTTGAGCAGTCCCTCCAAAACCTCAGGGCTTCGCGATTTCGGCCCCAGAGTCCCGATAATCTTCGTCATCGCAGAGAATGAAGGCACCTGGGAGCACAATGGATGCTTTAGCGAGAGCTAGGTCTATCGAATCGAGCAACACATTACCGATGGGGACGATTCCAGGATTGAGGCCAGGCGGATCGGCTCCTCGAGGAGGAGATGTGGCGCCTGCATCGTGATCTAGATGTGTTCTTCGCGGCGCTGTCGATGATCCTGAGCAGCGGCTGCTGCCTCTTTTAAAAGGCACTTGACCTCCCCTAGTGGGTTTTAATCGAGCATATACGTTTAGTATCGCCTTTTAGGTCAAACTACGTGGATAACACGTGTCTTAAACCATGCCGTGTCATCGAGGGCATTCTATGTACCTTTAGGCTGTGAATTTTTTATCTCTTTCTTCGATGGGCAAGAATGTCGCCGCTAGAGCTAGCGCGAGAGATATTTGTGGATCTTCGCGGTGCAATGCTCCACTTTTTTAATCGCATTGCTGCACGATCACGCCAGTCGCATCAAGAAATCGTGGTGTCACAGGTTTTTCGCTAGATCTGCCGCCAGGGTTTTGAGCTCCAGGGATTGATTTGAAGAGCTGTGGTAATGGACGAGCGTGCTCCTCTGGGAAAGATCAAAGTCGCGACGAAAGCGAACAGGTTTCTCGTCTGCGTGCTTCTCATATTGCTGGCTTTCATTCTTCTCCAGCTTGTGACGATCGAGACGAGAGGAATTTGTGCTGCATTGGAAGCCGCTGAAGATCCAGATGAGCGCTCGTCCACAAGAGGGGCGGCCATGGCATGCATTCGAAATTCCAGCGACAAAGCCGCCATGGCGAAGTGTTTGCAAAAGGTACTTTCGGTCTCTCTAGGCAGCGACGATGTTCCTTCCGTGCTAAACTCTGGTCTAGGCGATGATGGATCTTCCACTTCTAAAGTCGAGAAAGAAACCGCGAAAGAGATCCAGGAAGAGTGTGCTAGAGCCAAGAAAATGCTCGAGGACGAGAAAGAGAAGAAATACTCCACAGCCAAGAAAGAGCTCGAAGAACTCCGGCACGAATTCCAAATGGTGGGCGAACACCTCAGGCACAGTTTCACGATGATGGAGCTCAAGGATTTGTCACAGCCGGGTCTCTCCAATGGCGACACCATCTGGTTCATGAGCTCTCTCCACGGAAATTCTGTGGATGATCAGGGCAAGCCGGAAGAGTTTCGTTTCCCGTCAACTATTTCTCAAGGGAGGCTACTGTGCTTGCAAGGCAACCACACTCACAATGGAACCATGAACAAGTATGGCTTCGCGTGGAAAGGCTTCTTACCGGATGGCGCAACTTATCTCCCAGGATTGACACTCGTAGCTGACAACTACTGGGACTACGTGAATCCCTGGCACAGCATGTCCGCGCTCATCAACTTTGCGGCTTGGCGAGTCGACAATGGCTGCAAAGTCCCGGCCAGGATCGTAGCTTACCACTGGGGAGAGATGGTGACCAAGATGGGCGACTGGATCACCAACGTTCTTCATGCTTCGCTGGGCGTGAAGCTGAGGCCAGACACTTTGAGCTCGTATGGAAGCGGTCCGGTGTGCTTTGAGGACGCCATTGTCCAGCGCAGGGGCCTCGGTGGGATGTCCAAGGAGAGGATGAACAGGCTCTTCGATATGGTGCGTTGCAAGGTCTACCAGTTTTGCAAAGTTCCTCCGAGGTCCTTCGTTCTCGGCGGCAAAGATGGAAGGATTGATATCACTCTCGTCGCGCGGTCGGGGCCGAGAGAATTCAGCAACTTATCTGGTGTTGTTAGTGCTGTCTCGGAGCAGTGTGCAATGGTCAAGGGATGCAAACTCGACATCGTTTCGATCGGCAACTTGAGCTTTTGCGAACAGGTATCTTGGCTCTGGTTTTTTCACTCTCTGGAAGTTGATGTCTATGGTTCTGTGAACTCAGGTGGAAGTGATGAGCAAGAGCGACGTTCTTCTGACTGCTCACGGCGCACAGCTCACAAACATGATGTTCATGCCGAGGGGTGGAAGTGTCATGGAACTCTTTCCAAAAGGCTGGCTAGAGTTTGCGGGAGTCGGGCAGTACATTTATACGTGGCTAGCGGACTGGACTGGGCTCAAGCATGAAGGAGTCTGGAGAGACCCCGATGGTCCGGACTGCCCTTACGATACCAAGACCCAGGCACTCGAGTGCTTTCTCTTCTACAAAGACAGGTCGGTCGGCTTGAATTCGTCTCACCTCTCGTCCTGGACTGCCGATGTTCTTGAGAGAATCCAAGCTCGGAGAGCAAGCAGCGTTGCTGACCACATCTTGGAGACGAGCTGTAGCTGTGACAGTGTTGATCGATTCACATGAAAAGTTAGAGGAACAGCTTCGTCACAAGTTCGCTCAGTTCATATCAGGTAAACTTCTCGGTTTTGTGGCAATTCTCAGTAACTCTTTCAAGTGGCTTACAGATCATTTGGATCATGAGGTATGCTCTCTCAAGTTCCTGCTTCTCAGGTAACTTACCTGGTGAACTCATGCCTGAGATCCAAGGACCTCTCCCAGGCCAAGCGCTTACATGCAAAGCTCATCAGCGACCAATGCCACGACGAGGCACTGCTAAGTCTCTTCATCAAACTCTATGGAAGCTGCGGGAGCATCGAAGACGCTCGCGGTCTCTTCGACCGTTTAGACGATCCGGGTGTTTCTTCGAGGAACGCACTCATGCTAGCTTACGTCCAGAATGGGTCTCTTGCGGAGGCTGAGGAGATTTTCCACCGGATGCCCAAGAGAAGTCTAGCGTCCTGGACAACGCTCTTCGTGGCTTATGCCCAGCTCGGGGATCTCTCCAAGGCTCAAGGTATATTCGACTCCATGCCCGAAAAGGACATAGCGGCATGGAACGCTATGATCCAGGCCTGCATTTACAACGAGGACTTACACTCCGCCAAGAGAATCTTCGACCAAGCTCCAAATCCCAACGTGGTTTCATGGACGAGCATCTTACAAGCATATGCCCAAGCTGGGCATATTGAGTCAGCGAGGAGTGTGTTTGGCCGTATGCCGTACAGGAATGTCGTGACGTGGACTGCCATGCTGGCAGCGTTTGCCCAGCACGGCCAGCTGGAGGACGCCAGGTGGATTTTCGACACAATGCCCGAGAAGAATATAATCTCCTGGAACGCCATGATCCAAGCATATGCCCAAAACGGGCATCTTTTGGCGGCCAAGAAGGCATTTGAGGAGGCGCCGGCGAAAGACGACGTTACTTGGAACACCATGATAACGGTGTTTGCGGAGAATGGACAGACTGAGGCCGCTAAGAGAATCTTTGATAAGATGCCCACACACAATGTGGTTTCTTGGAACGCTATGATAACGTCTTATGCCGAGTCCGGGCATATTCTAGAAGTAAAGAGGATGTTTGACACGATGCCGGTGAGAGATTTTGTCTCGTGGAATGCTATGATGCAGGTTTATGTGGTGAAAGGCGACGTGGAGCAGGCGAAAAGATTATTCGAGGATGCTCCAGAGAGGGATCTAACATGCTGGAATGCGATGATACAGGTATACTCCCAGACTGGCCATACCGATCAGGCAAAGATGCTGTTTGATTCCATACCAAAGTTGTCTACCATCTCTTGTAATACCATGATCACGGGATATGCGGTGGGTGGATACCCGGACGAAGCAAAAGACATATTCGATTCCATGCCACAGCGAGATGTGATCTCGTCCACGGCCTTGATCGCGGCATATTCCCGTAATGGCCGGCAAATCCGCGCCAGGGGAATCTTTGACGCCACCATTGAAAAGAATGTGGTGACGTGGACGACTCTGATTGCCGGGTACGCCCACACAGGCCACGCCCACGAATCGCTGGATGCATTCCACGACATGAAGATCAACGGCCAAGATCCAAATCCCATATCGTTTATGAGCGTTTTGGTGGCGTGTAGCCACATTGGAATGGTGTCACTGGCATTGCATTATTTTATCCAAATGGTGGCGGACTATGGCTTGGAGCCATGGAGGGAACATTATTGTACGCTAATCGATATCCTTGCAAGGTCGGGCCAGGCCTCCAGAGCAGACGATCTTGTGAAGAATATGCCATTTGAGCCAGATAGAGTCTCTTGGGGTGCTTTGCTTGGAGGATGTTCTAGAGCGACGAACACAAACTATATTGCTGCTTTGGCAGCTCAAAATATGCTAGTGCTGGCACCCGGAGATGGCGCGCCTTACGTCCTGTTAGCTAATTATTCCGAAGAATCATCAAAGCTTTAGCATTTCCTTTCCGGATCATGAGGAGGGAATCTCTTACTACTTTTCTACCAGTAAGAAAAAGTAGAGCCTCCTTTTGAAACTTCCATTGTTGCGAAGTCCAGATCCAACCAACCGAAAGCTCATGCTGTGTGATCGAAGCATCCATTTCCAATTTTCTGGACAAGAGACCCTAAACAAGTGGAACCAAATCATAGCATGATACTGTAAGGATCGGCGACCGATCAGGCATGTTTGTTGAGTGTCTTTTGACTTGTAGAAGGTGGCGTCCTACCCAATGCCTAGAAATCTTTTTAAAAACCTAAAGCCCGCCAAAACATCGCGGCTCTAAAAAATTTGCCCCAATGGAATCTTGTTTCCTTGTGCTTGGCGAATATGCATGACGCCCACAGACAATGGGTGACGGGTCACCATATCCAATCCCGGGAAATTCCCACCCGCGAAAATTTACTTTATTCGATTTCCACATTCCTTCATTTCATCTGCGGGCGTTTTGATTTTTACCCTCCCCCGACATGATTAAACCAGGTGGCACGCGCGATACGCCAGGACACGTACCGACCGTACGAGCATCACGGGGGGCCAGTAAAACATTTCCGTGAAAGAAGAAAGTTAATGGACGCCAAAGCGTTTCTCCAATCCAGTCGAGCTCTGCAAAAACCCCGGTTTTCTTTAGGGTTTCTAGTCTCGTTCGGTTTGTTAATTCATTTCTTGCTTAAGCGAATCCTTTCTTCGTCGATCGGCCGGCGATGGAGGAGCGAGCCTGAATCTCGAATGCCGATCGCTGGGTGAGAAGGCCGCCAGATTTCCATCCGGAATGGCGTGTATGAAGCTCGGATCCAAGGCGGACGGCTTCCAGAGAAGGGGGCAGGCATGGTAAGGCGCTCTAGCTCTTCGATTCTTCATGCATTGCACGAAATACCTCCTCTCCGATCGATCGCAATCTAGATCGTCTTCCATTCTTTCTCCGGATTTCCCTCGCTCCATTGGCTGCGCGATGCCGCTGGAAATTTTTCTTGCTGAGGGAAGTGAGCGGTCTCATCCAAACGTTTGTTGGACGGCAGGTTTTGCACGACGGGACTTCCGAGCGACATCGTCATCGAGGTGGAGGAGATGACGTTCCACCTCCACAAGGTTCGCGCAATTTCATTCTAGTTCTAGTGCTAGTCTCACGAATCTTTCCTCTCTTCCCAGTTCCCGCTCATGTCCAGGAGCGGCAGATTGACGCGGCTAGTCGCCGAGCTCCTAGATGACGACGCGGGCGATGGAAATCGAATCGTTCTTCCTGGCGTCCCCGGCGGCGCCGAGACCTTCGAGCTCGCCGCCAAGTTTTGCTACGCCGTCAAGGTGGAGCTCACTTCGGCCAATGCGGTGGCGCTGAGGTGCGCCGCCGAGTACCTGGAGATGACCGAGGAGTATGTGGAAGGGAACCTTATCGCCAAGATCGATAGTTTCCTCAACCAGGTGGTTCTCAAGAGCTGGAAGGACTCGGTCCGGGCGCTCCAGAGCTGCGAGGACGTGTTCCAGCAGGCCGAGGAACTCGGGATCGTCAAACGATGCATCGACTCCATCGCCAGCAAAGCTTGCACCGATCCAGCGCTGTTTGGGTGGCCGGTGATGGAGCAGAGCGGCTCAATGCAGAGTCCCGGGGGGAGTGTTCTCTGGAACGGGATAAGCACAGGGGCAAAGCCGAAGAACCCGAGGTCGGATTGGTGGTATGAGGATGTTTCGCTGCTCAGTCTTCCGCTCTACGAGAGGGTGATCTCTGCAATGGAGGCCAAGGGGATCCGGGGGGACGCGATCGCGGGAGCGCTCATGTACTATGCAAAGAAACAGCTCCCGGGACTAAGTCGGAGACAGGACGGGCGAGAAAGTGGGAACTTGTCCATCGTTCCGGTGACGAATGCTCCATCGGAGAACGAGCAAAAGGTGCTCTTGGAGACGATTGAGAGCTTGCTGCCCCTCCAGAAAGGCGTCGTCTCGACCAGGTTCCTGTTCGGCCTGCTCCGGATTGCGATGATTCTTTCGGCTAATGCGGACTGCAAGAGCAGCCTCGAGAGGAGGATCGGCCAGCAGATGGAACAGGCAAGTCTCGACGATCTCCTCATGCCCAATTACTCGTACACAGTGGAGACGCTGTATGACATCGATACGGTACAGCGGATACTTGACCATTTTCTTATGATGGACCAAGCTCGTGCAACCTCTTCGTCGATTCAGTCCTTCGAAGATGGCCCGTTGATCGGGTCGCCGCAGCTGAGTCCGATGATGATGGTGGCCAAGCAGATGGATAACTATCTCGCCGAGGTTGCCCCGGATGTCAACTTGAAGCCGGCCAAGTTCCAATCGCTCGCAGAATGTCTACCAGAGTACGCCAGACTTATGGACGATGGGCTGTACAGGGCGATCGATATTTATTTGAAGGTACGTTGCTTGCTGGATTCGCAATTCGTGAACTTCATGATGATAAAAGTCCAATAGTGGAGAGCGATATACTTACTAGCTGGGAATACTTTTCAGGCACATCCATGGCTTTTGGAGCACGAGCGAGAGCGCATCTGCCGAATTATGGACTGCCAAAAGCTCTCCCTGGAGGCGTGCACTCATGCGGCACAGAACGAGCGGCTGCCACTCCGGGTGGTGGTGCAAGTCCTCTTTTTCGAGCAGCTCCAGTTGCGGACCGCCATCGCCGGCTGCTTCCTTGTTGCCGACAACGTCGATCAGTCGAGGCCCCTGCGCTCCTCGCACCTGGTGGAAAACGCTGGCGGCGTTGGTCACTCGAGCTTGCAAAACGGCTGGGCCAGCGTCATCCGCGAGAACCAGGTCCTCAAGGTGGACATGGACAGAATGAGGAGCCGGGTGGTGGAGCTTGAGAAGGAATGCACGACGATGCGGCAGGAGATTGAGAAGCTGGGAAAGGGGGGAAAGGGGCCGTTTGGGCTGGTTTCTCGACGCTTCGGTTGCAAGACAGCCAAGAGCCAGGTCTCCAACTCACACGAGAAGGTGGAGCCGGGGGTGCCATTCTCGGCAGAGATTTCAGCGAAGCAGACGATGAAGCAGCAAGGCCAACATAACCGCAGCGCCTCCAGCGCTCACTGACTCTAAACGACGCAACTTCTAAGGTACTTATATCGACTGATTGCTTTCTTTCCATCTTTCATGCTTCCTGTTGTGCGTTCCTGTTGTGCTTCCGTGTGGATCCCGATCATATATTCCCTCCACTCGTCGCATCTCCCGCTTGTACTCCACGCAAGTGCCTGTGCCTGTGACTGCGATGTTACGCATTAATTACGACGTTGTCAAACCTCTTTCTGATTGTGCCTTTCTCTTTACAGATATTATTTTTTTCTCCTCTCCTGTACTGCGTGAAGAAGACTGGGATGATGTAACATATAACAATAGGTAGTGTATGTCTCTATTTCTTATTACTCTCTCGCTGATTGTTTTTATATTCTGTCCTCTTTTTTTTGTTTCCTATGCTGCGCTGTGTTGCAACTTGCTCATAGTCAGTCCGCCTGTGAGGGCTTGTCGCTGGTTTGCTTGGAAATTTGCAGCCTTTCTCTTGTTCGAATGCTTGCATTTGCCGTGCTTTTCTGGCGTGGAGTGCATGTGGAAGGAGTGCCTCTCCTGTTTGCTCTCATGCATTTTTCTATGCTGCTTGCATTGAAAGCGAGAAAGTATATCGATTAAGCCGACGTGCGGTTATGTGTGCCATTGTTTTCTTCCTTGTCGCATTGCGTACGTGATGCAGCTGCAGAGCAGCATACAAGACTGCGCGGGGATTGACCGACTGAGCTTTTGTTCTCCTTTTTCTTCTCATGGATGCAGCTGTAGGCCACATTTTCACATTTGTTAATGTTTCGCAACAACCACTGGAAAACTGCCCGAAAACAAGACTATGCAATGTGACCTGCACTGCCCGGGAATCGAACCCGGGTCTGTTCCGTGGCAGGGAACTATTCTACCACTAGACCAGCAGTGCTTATTTATTTTATTTGATCTGTCACAAAGATAATTCAAAACAATGCAAATACTCTCCAAAACTATATTTTTTATTCAACATAGATTGTTGTTCAATATCCATGGGCTCGTTGTCCTTCTACAACTGCCTGTGCTGGCTTGGACTTGAGCAAAGAATTTGTTTCCTTAAGTGCCTCCACGGCTTGGATGGATGTTTTCTTCCATGCCTCACATTTGTTTCAAATGCACAAGAATTTAGGGCTCTAGGCGATGCGGCCGACTAGCAAGGTAGCTCCCAAGAAGAGGGCGCTCAAGAAATCGTCATCGCAGCAACAGAGGCTTGTCAACACCGGGGCATCGTCCTTTGTTGAGTGCCCAGCTTGCCAGGTTCTTAGTTTATTTCTCTTTTGGTAGTATCCAGGTTGATGAATTCTAAGTAAATTGTCCAAATACTCATCACATTTTGTTTATCAGCTCAAGGTGGCTACCACACTGATAAATGTGCATCTGGATCTGGATTGCAAGCCCGCTAGAAATGCGTCTCAAAAGCAAATACCTCTCACTGGCAAGTCTCTTGTTTTCTTTTTCTTTTTTTTTCTTCTCAACTTGGGCTCAAGTTTTTACTATCGGCAGGAAGAGACGAAACCATTTGTCTCGACGAGCAAGCTTCTTGTTCGTCGGTGTTCGTGGCACTTTCTTCTTCGCGTGTCCAGCCCAAACCCTCCGTTATGAATGGATACCAGCTCGTTGAAAACTTTATATCTTGCGAGGTGAGCCTTGAATTTGGACGATTTTCTCTTGACGCACCTGATCTCCCAGGAAGAAGAGAAGCTCATCTTTGCAATGGATTCGGATGCTAGGAATCTCTGGAAGCCTTACAGTTTCACTGGCTTAAACAATGGCAAGTCTTACGGCCTTGTGATGGCTCTAGGCAAAAGGTTTGTTCTTTTCCTTTTCTTGTGTTTTCCGAGTTTTTCTTTGGTCTTAGATTTGTGGAGATCAATGCTTTTGTTCACAGGAAAATCTTAGCTCCAAAGTTTGAGATGCCACACGTCCTGGAGCCGATCATGGAGCGAATGCGAAGCATCCCACTTCTAGCCGAGTTCTTCCCCAACGAGATGAACTCGCTGGAGTATATCAGGGAATCCGGACACTTCCTGCGGCCTCACGTCGATGATCGCCAGGTTCTCTCAATCCTTTCCAGCTGTCTTTCATTTGTTCTTGCTTGTTGCCTATTCAAGATCACAAGTGTTTTTAGCTCTCAGGCACCTTGATCGTCAACTTAAGCATGTGTGGAGAATGCTACATGACGTTCAAGCGAGAAAGGGGTGCGTATGAGTGCCACAAAATCCGATTAAAGCAACGATCTCTACAGGTAAGTCAAAGCTTTTGCCTTCTATTTTATCGGATTTTTTACTTCTCTTGTTCTAGATACTTACCGGAGATAGTAGATATAACTTCACACATGAGATTGAGAACCGGGACTTGCTATCACCGAGGAGAGTTAGTATCACGTTTAGAGAGGTGATTTCTTAAGCAAGAAATGCAAGTCACACAATTGTATATGGTATTTATTCTATGAGTTCCCACAACCTTGGAGGAGCTGTTATGTACATATTTATTTGTATCGTTGCAAAAGTTCTTCAAATTTAAGAGAGAAATTGAATATAGTAACTTTTAACTAAAAAGAATGCAGGCAATGATACATTGTTCTTGGATGCTTCAGAGTTACAAAGATGAGGACGTATGGGACCTTTTTCGCAACACAAACAATGGTCGAATATCAATGCAGGACCTTAGGTCCAAAGTTCGAGAAGCCGATCATGGAGCGAATGCAAAGCATCCCACTTCTAGCTCCCCAACAAGATGAACTCGTGGGAGTTTCCATTTGTTCTTGCTTGTTTCTATCCCTATCCAAGATCGCAGCTCTCAGGCACCATGATATTCAACGTAAGCATGTGTGGAGAATGCTACATGACGTTCAAGTGACGAGTGTCATAAAATCCTATTGAAACAACAATCTCTTCAGGTAAAGCGCATCTATTCTCTCCTTTTTACCAGATAAAAAATGGATTTCTTCGTAGATTCTTAGTGGAGAAGCAGATATGACTTCACTGATGAGATATACTATCCCCAAGGCGAGTTAGAATTACATTTAGAAGTGGTTTCTTAGAACAGTCAAATTTTAGTCAACTTTCTGTATTTCTTTGTAAGAAAACTATGCAAGTCACACTATTGTATATGGGATTCATCACTCCTTTCCATCGGCCTTCCTGAGTGAGCCGAGCTGGACTGGAGCTTGAGTTCCCACAACCTTGGAGGAGCTGTAAGCTGCCGCCAAGTCGTGTGATCCCTCCGCCATCTCCTTTTCAAGTTGCTCCTTGATCCACATGTAGGTGATTCGCAGCCCATCTCTCAGTCGCATCGAGGGAGCCCAGCCCAGCTTCTCCTTGATCAGACTGTTGTCCGAGTTCCTTCCGCGGACTCCCTCCGGCCCGGGGATGTGCTGGATTGGAATTTGCTTGTTTTCAAAGCCCAGGATCATCTCCGCCATCTCGTTCATGCTCACCATCTCGTCGCTGCCGATGTTGAGCGGCTCCCGGAAGTCGGACTTGGTGAGTCGCAAGACGCCTTCCACGCACTCGTCGATGAACGTGAAGGATCGCGTCTGCATACCATCGCCCCACATCTCGAATTTGTCGGTGGAAGTCAAGGCCTTGCGACAAAACGCGGCTGGAGCCTTCTCTCGTCCGCCTGTGAGATCGATTTGTCAGTCACCCATCACACTCTAAGCTTCGAGCAAGAGAAGAAAAAGGAAGTTCCAAGAATCTAAGCTCACCTTTCCAGGTACCAAAAGGCCCGTAGATGTTGTGGAAGCGCCCAATCCGGCACTCGATTCCAAAATCCTTGGTGTAGTGCTTGCACAGCTCTTCCGTGCACAGCTTCTCCAGCCCATAGGCATCTTGGGGCTGCAAGGAAAACAAGAGTTTTAGAACTTCCAGATCAGAAAGAAAGGATTTCTTTCTTTCACATACCTCTGCCGGCCATGCATCGCCTTCCTTGAGACTCACGTTCGTTTCTAGCTGTTTGAACTCTGGATAAATGCATGCGCTGGACGCGTAAAAGAATCTGCAAGCCAAAAGGAAAAGTGAGCTCCAAATTCTCGGAACAAAAGAAGAATCCACACCTTTTGACTCCATTGATTCGGGAGGCCTCGAGCATGTTGAAGCTGATCATGGTATTGTTGAAAAGGATGACCGAGTGATTCGACTGGATGAAACCCATCCCGCCCATGTCGGCCGCGAGATTGAAGACGTGATCCGCGCCCCTCGTCACAACCATGCAGTTGTCCATGACGCGCAGATCCACGAGATGGAACTCATGGCAGAACATATCCTCGCTCATGTGTTCGTTCTTCTTCCAATCGGAGGCAATTATATAGTGGCCCTCGGCTTTGAGCCGCCGTGCGATGTGCGATGCTATGAATCCTCCAGCACCGGTGATGCAAATCCGGAGCTTGGCTTCTGGCCAGTAGGCCTCACGCTCCAGCTCTGCCCCAACTGTGTAAGCTCCAAAGGATTCCATGCTCTCTTTTCTCTCTTTTCTTTAGGATACGGCTAATGTTTCTCCCCTATTTATACTAGGCTAACCAAAAGGGAAATAATGAATGAACCCTTACCACCTTTTTATGGAAAGGGTCCTTTTTTCTAAACGATTTTTTTGTGTCTTTAATTAATAATTCCTTTTTTTAATTTGTTTTTTTCCTGGCAAACGCTATGAAGCACTGAATTTGACGCCCTCGTCGTCTCCAGCCTTGCCTTTAAACATGGCCGCTTTGCCGCGTTGCTCGAGGAGCTTCAGTGCTCGCACCAGCACGAAACGATCGATCCCAGCTAGCTCTGCGTGGATGAAGCAAAAAAGAAACCGAGGAGATCGCAAAACTAATGGCAAAACTCCTTACCAGTTCCACGGCTTTCATCTCCAGACTGGATCTCGTCGAGTGTTAGCACTCCATCCTCCATTGCATTGTCTCTAACCTGTGAAGAAACGATCTTAGCAAAGCGAACACCAAAGAAGGTTGGCTTACAAGCTGCAAGATCATCTCACTCCACTCCTGAATCGACCGCCAGAGAACGAGGCACTTCTTATGTGCTTTGTCGAGCCACTCGGCTTTCCCTGTGTTTGTAAAAGTGAAATGAGAGAACTCAAGAAGAAAAATAAAGAGGAACATACCTTCGGCAACCAGAGCTGCTAGAAACACCTCTCGAGCTTCAAAACTAAGTTTTCCTGTGATCAATCACGAGAAACCACAAGAACATCTTGAGGAAAAAGCAAAAGAAGAGCGAAGAGACATACTCTGGATGCTCAAATTCTGGAATAGAGGGAACTCCTGTTCTAGATTGATGATGAAACACTTGTGGTGTTGGCAATACCTGAGAATGAGCTCCTTCCATAGCTGCATTTGCTTTTCTCTTGTGTCTTGGACCGGCTGCAATCTTTCATCAAGAAAAAAAGTAGAAAAAAATCCAGAAAAAAAAAACAAATCTTGGTAAGGCGCACACGAGCAACAGAGAAATCACACGATTACGTGAAGTAAGGCGGATAATCAAAGAAATATGGGAACTTGAAGTCGCCCATCGCCCCTTCACAAACCCTAAAACTTCATGAGAACACTTGAGAATATACCATTTGATTCCGTTTCTTTTACCGGCACATCCGGTCACCATCACCGCCAGTAGCCGGTTTCCCTCACAGCAGCATTTGAAATGAGTTCCCTCTAGTGGCGGCTAGATTTTGATACGCGCTCCCCAGGCTAGGGTTTAGCGTTCTGGCGCGCATTCCCTTTGCTAGGGTTGGTCTTCCAGGCGCGAGGCTATGGTGGCTGCTGCTGGCATTGCTGGGGGCCGCTCGAATCGCCTCCATTCGGTGGCCAGGCGAGAGAGATCTCGGCCTCGAGCGAGCAGCCGCATCGCCGTGGAGAGCGACGAGGAAGACGATGGCGTGCACGGCGAGCGGATGAAGCCACTGGCGAGCTGCTGCGTCAATACTGTCAACACTGCGGCAAGAAAGCCTCTCGCGCCACTGGTAAGCTCTTGGATTTAGATTGGGATCGATTCGATTCCATACAACCCTGGCTCTCGTGACGCAGTCTGAAGGCGGTAGCAGTATGGATTTGCTGTTCCTGGCGCTGGAGTCTTGCTCCAGCGGCGAGAAGTCGAATGTAGCAAGGGATCAAAGTAGAGAAGGAGAAGAAGATGACAACAAGGGCCATGACAAGGAGAATTCTTTCCCTTTGGCGCAAATTAGTTCTAGGAAGAGGAAACCGGAGGATAACAACTATGTTTCTGCGGCCGCTGTGACACCATTGTTCGCAAGCGCAGGTATGTTTGGCGATGGTGTTCTTGTTGCTTCGTAAAGGTGCTAAACTTCTCTTCCTTTTTTCTTCTCGCATTTTGTGCAGCCGTGAGTGTAGCATCTCGCTGGCTGGAGCTTCTCCACCTCGACTTGAAGGGACGACTAGCTGGTCAGCTACTTTATTTCTGTAACGTGGGATGGATCGTGATTTTCTGTGCTTTCGTTTTTCTTCCCAGCCTTGAAAAGAAGCAGGAGAAATGTTCGCGGCGTCATTGTTTCCGGTCACATCGGACGGGACGGTCAATGGATGCAAATGTTTCTGAACATGGACGCTACTCTTGCGGCAGAGGGCTCCAAGCTGGTGAGTCCAATCGATTCTCATTCCGTGAACTATCTATCTATCTATGAGTTCTATCTCACCACGAGCTTGTTTTGCTTTCCCTGCAGGAAAACACCATTAGGAAAGTCCAAGAGATGCAAAGACACTGCGTCGCTCCACCCGACGAGAATTTTGACATAGAGAAGTTTGCCGGTCGCGTTCATCACTTATCGCAACAGCTGAGCGCTCCTCCGCCTGTTCTAAGGTGAGACATCTCACACTCGCATTAGAGATCTTTTCTAACACCATTTGAGTGAAGCAGTGAGTCTCAGATCAACCAGACAGTCACTCTGGCTGCCAGTGCCGGCGCAATTTGCTCCACCGCAAGCTTCGCGCTGAAAGAGAGCTGAAATTCTCTGGGACAACGCTTCCTTGGATTTGTACCATCAATCTCATAAATGTGTTATAGTAAGTTATCGATTCGATTGTTCTATGTGCTTACAAGCTTGAGATAGCCGCGTTCTCCATGTTGATCGCAAGGAAGACATACCCGGCTGGGTTTTGTGGATCCAGCTCGAGAACCCTCTTTGATGCAAACGCCTGGTCGAGTCGCGAGTTCTTGCTCGTCTTTTGCCTCGATCTCGCAGCGAGGACGCACTTCCAATCCACCTCGTCGGGAACAAAGGGCATGCTCTGGATCAGATCCTCGGCCTCCTTGAGGTAACCCGATCGACAGAGCGCGTCAACCATGAGCGAGTAGTGCTGCTTGGCCGGGATCCTCCCGAAATCAAACGCCATCGACACGAACAGGCTCAAGCAGGATGCAGCGTCTCCGGCGTGGCTGCAAGCCAGCAAGCCGCAAACAAAGCAGCTCTCGTCCGGCATCGCCACCGCGCTCATCTCGCGGAAGGATTGCGATGCGAGATCGAATTCGCCAGCTTGAGCGTAGCCGACAAGGAGGGCGTTCCAAGCGATCAAGTCATGCTCCGGCATTCCATCGAACAGTTCCTTCGCCTTCAGTATATGCCCGTTTCGGGCATATGCGGATAGCATTGCGTTCCACGTAAATAGATTCCTCTCGTGCATGCTCTTGAACAGCGCCGCCGCCTCCCGTACGTGCCCGTTGACCGAGTACGCCGAGATCATCGAGGTCAACGCGACGAGGTCGTGGTCGTGCATCGAGTCAAACACCCGCCGCGCCTCGTCCAGGCTGCCGTACAGGGCGTGGCCGTTTAGCAGCGCGGTGTACGACACCAGGTTCCACTCCCGCATTGTGTCAAACAGTGCCTTGGCCTCCTCCAAATGCCCGTTCTGGGCAAATGCGGAGAGCAATGAGTTGTGCGATGCAAGGTCCTGTTGGGGCATAGAAGCAAAGATACCTTTCGATTCTTCGAGATTCCCAGTCTCTCCGTACGCGGTGATCAGGGTCGTACACGGGATCAGTCCGTGCACTTTCATTGCATCGTACACTTCTTTCGCTTTGTACAGATCCCCTCGCTGGGCAAAAGCGGCAAGGATTGCGTTCCACGAAACGATGTCTCTCGCGGGCATTGAGTCAAAGAGAATCTTCGCATCATCTATGCCTCCGGACTGTACGTACGCAGTGAGCAGCGTGTTCCACGACACGAGATCCCATTCGTTCATTCTGTGAAAGAGATCTACGGCCAGAGACAAATGCCCATTTAGGGAATATCCCGAGAGCATGGCATTCCACGATACCAAATCTCGTTCTTTCATACTGTCGAAAACAAGCTTGGCTTCTTCTAGGCAGCCGTTTAGACAATACCCCGTCAACATTGTAGTCCAGGAAATTAAATTCCACTCAAGCATGGACTCAAAAACTAGCTTGGCTTGCTTGACATGGCCTTTGAGGGCATATGCCGAGAGCAAGGCGTTCCAAGATATGATATTCCTCTCTCTCATGCCATCAAAGATTTTCCTTGCAACGTCTAGATGGCCATGCCGAGAATATGCTGATAAAATTGCGTTCCAAGACACGAGATTCCACTCTTGCATCCTGTAGAAAATGCTCTCCGCATCTTCCAGATGCCCTGCCAGAGAATATGCAGAGAGCATGGCTGTTGACACTACCAAGTCCCAGTACGGCATTCTTTCGTACAGAGCTTTGGCTTGGCCAATGTCTGAGGTACGGACATAGCCAGTCAGCATAGACGTAAACGATACTTGATCCCACTCGGGCATTTTGTCAAAGAGAAGCTTAGCCTCTTTAAGATACCTGTTTTGGGTATATGCCGTTAAGAGAAGATTCCACGACATGAGGGTTCTTTCTTGGATGGAATCAAAGAGAAGCTTTGCCGATTCCACACGCGAATGCTGCTTGTAAGCCGTGAGGAGTGTGTTCCAGCACACAAGATTCCATTCAGGCATTGCAGCATATACCTCCTCAGCCAAGTCAAGATGCTCATTGCGGGCATATGCCGAGAGCATCAAAGACCATGAGTATATGTTCTTACTGGCAAGATTGCCAAAAATCTTTCTAGCAGACACAGCGTCACCAAATCTCCCGTATGCATCTATGAGAAGATTCCAGAGAAAGACGTCATTAGCATGGCCTGCTGGTTGAATTTGAGCATGGACTGCATTGACAGACGAGAGAGTTTTGCATGACCTCACAGTATTGAAGATTTCCTCGCGACTTAGAATTCTCTCATTCATTCTTTTCTCAAAATCAAACAAGAATTTTTTCCCGAAAACTATTTACTTGAACTTTTGGCAGTCACATACTAAATGCATCCTTATTGCTCAATTGAAAATTCCGCCTCGATGAGTAGATGCTTGCAAGAGCAATGTAAGCTCCTCCATTGTGGGAATACTGCCTGAGAATAAGCCCAGCTGCATTGACGCCGCGCTTGAAATCCTTGTGCGCAATCGATGATCCCAGAAAGCTTGTCCAGTCCAGCGAATCTGGAACGAATGGCATGCTGTGGAGAAGATCCGCTGCATCTTCCATATATCCCATTCTTCCAAGAAGATCGACCATGCAGCTATAGATTTGCTTGCTCGGCTGGATACCAAAGTCGATGTTGAGCGATACGTAAAAACACCACCCAAGATTGACACTGCCTACGTGGCTGCATGCCAGCAGTCCGCAAATCCACGAGATTTCATCGGGATCGTTGATAACTTTCATGGAGTGAAACGTTTCAAGAACTCTAAGGTGGTGCCCTCTTTGGGCATATGCCGCTAACAAAGCATTCCAAGAGCTAATGTTTGGTTCTTCCATAGTGTAAAATATTTGTTCGGCTTTGGCAAGCAAACCATGCCAAGCGTACATCGATAACATTGCGTTCCAGGAAATCGCATCTCGGCCATCCATTGAGTGGAATATACTTGCCGCGGCCTCTTGATGCCCGTTTTGGGCATAAGCGTAGAGTATTGCATTCCATGCAACGAGATCTCTTTCAGGCATCGCATCAAATATTCTTTTTGCATCGCTAAGACGCCCGTCTTCAGCATATGCGCACAGCATGATGGTTTGGGCCATAAGATTTTCTTTTACACTAATTAAAAGTGCCTGAGATTCTTCTAGATACCCGTTTTGGGCAAATGCAGAGAGCATCGTAGATTTAGAGACATGGTCATGCTCAGGCATATTGTCGTAAAAGCACTTCGTATCTTCCAAGGTTTTATACTGGGAATATCCGCACAAGAGCGCATTGTTGGTGACCAGATCCCTTTCCTTCATGGCCTTATAGATTCTTTTCGCATCTTCCATATGCCCGGCTTGGGCATATACAGTCAGCACAGTGGTACACGAGACTAGCTCTCGTTCCGGGAAGGAATCAAAAAGGGAAAGTACTTTTTCTATATGCTTGCTTTGGACATAACCAGAAAGCATTGCGTTCCACGTCACCAAATCCCGGAAGGGCATCCCGTCAAACAGCTGCTTGGCGAAAAGAATATACCCAGATTGGGCATATGCCGCGAGCATCGCCGTCCACGATACCGTGTCCCACTCGGGCATCTTGTCGAAGATACCTTTTGCATCTTCAAGGCTGCCGTGTTGTATATTCGCAGCCAGCATCGCATTCCACGAGACGTGATTCTTTTCTTTCATTGTGTCAAAAAATGCCCGTGTCTCTTCCAGATACCCAAGCTTGGAATATGCGCTCAGCAGCGCATTCCACGAGACGAGGTCCCTCTCTGGCATGGCGTCGAATATCCTCCTCGCTTCTCCCAGATTCCCTCCGTGAGCGTACGAGGAAAGCATCGTTGCCCAAGTGAAGACGTTCTTTGTGAGCAAATTTTCGAAGATTTGCCTCGCGCGATCTAAGCTCCCACAGCGAGAATACATCTTAATCAAAAGATTGGCAACGTATGTGTCTGATATGATCGATTTGGGGATCTTGGAGTGGACCTCTAGAGCCTTGTAAATGGTTGTGCACGATTTAATAAGCTCTACACAATGAGCCCTCTCATCCATAGTAAGATTTGTATTGACCTTTATACTAGTGGATGACGCAATCATGGAAGAACAATTGCTAGGGTTTTGCTGTGGCGATGGAGCGGCAAAGGGGACGATTTCGTGTTCTTTAAGGTATGGTCGATGGCGATTGCGGACGCAATGCCGGTGGCGGCTGGGTAATCGCGCAGCGGTGGGGCATCCGTGATGATTTCCCGATAATTGTCATCGAATTCGACCAAAATGATGACCCAGAGTCGAGGATTTCGTGGAGGGAGAGGTGATTTTGGAGCTGATGATGATGGGAGTGAGAGGATCCAGAGGCCGAGCACTGCAGATAGTTACTACAGGCGTCCGCGAAGCGATCTCTCTGACGGCCAGTTTGGGAACTTGGATTTCAAGCCGAAAGGAACCTTTGGAAGTGATGGTTTTCAAAATGCGAGCGGTGGTGGAAGGTTTTGGGGTGATCACAGGGGTGGCTTTGGAAATGCAAGGGGCGGTGGAAGGTTTTGGAGTGATCAACGGGATGGCTTTGGAAATGCGAGGGGTGGTGGAAGGTTTTGGGGTGATCAAAGGTGTGGCTTCGAGAATCCTGGCTTTCAAGATGGTGGCCAACGCTTCACAAGGTTTGAGAACTTTCGTGGCGGAAGAGGAGGAAATGCTAATCCTCGTCAAGGTGGTAGCAGCCACAACAACAGTTATGGAAACTTCCGACGTGAAAACTACGCAGCTCAGATATACGGGAGTGGCAATATCCAAAGCTCTCGCGGTTCCGAGGACTACTACAAAAGAAATGGCGCAGGCTCCTTTGAGAGGAATCCTTATCGAGGCAATGGAAGAGGGAACAGCTCTTCCATTCGTAACGTAAATAACCATCAGCAGCAGCAGCGAAGTTTTAACGAGCAAACAAATTCCCAAAGGTGGACGAAACGTTCAGATCACGTGAAGAACTCCAAAGATCACGGACTTTCCCCTCGAAAGAGCGCCGAAACAAGATCACACGGGGTTTCACACGAATTTCCTAAAGAGAACATCAACTCTGAAAGCTTTGGTGAATTCGGAGAGCCCTCTTCTACCAGGGACAGAAAACACTCGCCCGTCAAACTTAGCAGCGACTACCTGCTTATGCTCTACAGGCAGGCGGTTCTAACACGGGAAAATGATGACGACTGGCCTCACATCGTTGGGAACTGTCCGGATATGTGTCCTGGTGAGTTACTTCATATAATTCGGGTTCTTTATAGTGACGACTATTGCAATTTTCAGCCGAAGAACGGGAAAAGAGATCACGGCTGAGAGATCTTGCAGTGTTCGAAAGGCTGGACAGCAATCAGAGCAAAACAACGAAAGAGCTAGCTGTGAAAAAGGTATGTCAATCGTGTGTCTAGTGCTGAACTTGAAGCACTAGTGGTCCTAACGTTTGTATTCTTTTGTAGTTCTGTAGGACTTTCTCCGGAAAGTCTCTAAAGGAGTCTGACGTACGTCCACTGCCTGTTTTGTGTCGTACAATGATGCATTTGCTTCACATTCTGGACGTGGACGACTATCCTTTTGAAGTGGTGCATGATTTTCTCTTTGATCGAACACGGGCTATTCGTCAAGAGCTAAGTATGCAGCGGATAACCGACAAGCTGGCTGTCTCCGTTTACGAAAACATAGTAAGCGTTCTCTTTACGTTTGTTGCTAACCTCACTAGATGTAATGCTCATGCAGGTGCGTTTCCACATTGTGTCCGAACGTGAATTGCGGCAACTGAGGACATCTGGAAAAGTTTTTGATTCCCATCTAAACCAACAACAACTCTCGAAAGCTCTTCTAAGCCTTCTTAATCTGTATTTAATTCTTGGAGATAGCAGCAAAAGCCTCGAGAACGAGGCTGAATTTTACAGCTACTATGTGCTTCTTAACTTGGGTCAGGTAACACTCCTTTTGCTAAACTTCACTATCTAATGCGTCTCTGGGAACTGGTGTTTCAGCCCCAACAACTTACACTATGGTTTCAGAGTGTCAGGCCTGCGCTGCTGAAATCATCTGATGTGGAGTTTGCACGGAGCGTTTTAAGGTACTATATTTGCAGCGTCTGTCGAGATTATATTCTAACCATGTAATCGTAGGTGTTACCGTCAAGATAACTTTCGGGGTTTCTTCCGGTTGGTAACCAAGGCTACGTATTTGCAAGCATGCTTGATGGAACTCTATTTTAATGAGGTGTGTGGTTGTGTCGTGGTTTCGTCCACTAGAACAACGAGGAATGCTTGTTTTTTCAGGTCCGTGCGTCTGCAATAAAAATGATAAACTACGGTGCCTACAAACTTCATCCCTTTCCTCTTTCTGACATCGCGGAATTGCTGCTAATGACAGTAAGCGAAAACAAGTTTTCATTTCTCTATCTGCTTTTGAATTGCTCAAATAGAAAAGGTGTTTCAGGTAGATGATATGCAAGAGTTTTGCGCGCTGCACGGTGTTGCTGTCTCGAACGATGCACACCTACTTGCGAAGCAAAGCGAGTTTACGCCTCCCCAACAGCTCGTGAGGCAGTATCTCTGCCAAGTCATCGAAGAGAAGCGGCCAGCGAAGTTTCAAGAACTATGCAGCGACTTAACTACGATATTCCAGTAACGACGCTTACGATCTAACTTGGACTTCCGTATCGATCAGGTTGACCATGCACTTGTTTGTTGTTTTTTCTCGCCTCGTTTTCTAAAGTTTTTGAAAGCTTTGCTGTGGCAGTGAGTACAGGCTGCATCGTTTTTGTCCTGGCTGAAAGGACGACGATTCACGAATATATTCTAGTTAAAAGAGCAGGCGGATCCAGTGCGAAAGTATATACAAGACGAGTGGAGCTATCATGGATTATCATACGCATAGAAAAGGTATAGATGGTGAATTTACAACGTTGTATTGAGCCGCGTGTCTTGTGGCAGAAAGGTGGACGAGCAAAAGAATGGCATATATTCTGCGTCACGTAGCCGAGAATATAGACAGGCCTCTGGCAAAAGTTACAGGGATTGAGGCCCCTGATATCTCATTTGGAAGACATATCTGCGGGGAAATCCTTCGGTTTCAGAGAGGAAACGTATTCTGTCCAACTAATCGCGCTATACGCGTTGGATAGCGGACAAGCTGGAGCTCCTATGGAGGTATGCAGCAGCAGCGCGATAGCGTATTTTTTTTTCGGTTTGGGTTTTTGGACCACCGCTCCACGCGCCTGCTAGCAACAACAACCATCTTGAATGAACTGTTGCTTTACAACCTTGCAAGGCAATTATTCGAGAGCGGTGGAGGCCTTCTTGAGGTTGGTTTTTCTTTTGCAAAGTTTGCTGCTAAGTTCACTCTAACCCCACTTATCCTTCCAGATCGCTCTTATGTGTGTATATACTCATTCTCAGCAACAGCTTGCTTCTAGAAAATGGGAAATGCCAGAGAAGAAGAAAGAGGGAGATTTATTGTCAAAGGCAAAAGAGGTTTTAAGATTCTCCTCCTCAGCTTTTGGGCATTATGGACGAGCACAAAAGGACAGTGGAAGTTGAACCTGGGCCTTCCAAAGAAAATCGTTTTCACCTCTCATTCCAATGGAAAGGAGTTAAAAATCTGGAGGAAAAAATCCCAGGGTAAAGTATTTAAGGTGGAGGAAACAGAAGAATAGTACTTGGAAGATCTTGACAAGAACAAGAATAAGCAGCCAGGCAGTCCAGCCAGCCCCTAAAAGAAAATAATTCTTCTTGGTTGTGCACAAACAACAACACAGAGTTAAACAAATACAAAGACCAATCAACTTGAGTAATAGTCAAACATAAATTTAGGAAATCTCTAGTCAAGAAAATAATTTTCTACTTTTTACTCTCTCTCCATTTTCTACAAACCAATCAACTTGGGTCAAAAAGTAATAGTCAAACTTAAAATTTAGAAAGCCTCTAGTCAATTTTCTCCCCTCTCTCTTTCTCTCTTGGGGTTTTGGTGAAGCCATGGATCTATTCCTTCTCTCTTCTACTCCATGGATATCTTCCTTCATGGGCGCTCTATCTCCCATTTCTTTCTTGGTGGAGGGTCGCGCTCGAGTTGGGTGAGGAGGAAAATGCCTGAAATGCAGAAATGCAGTGGGATGGATCGGTGGTTTGATTGATTTTACCGCAGTGTCAGATTTTCTTTTGACGATGTCGATCCAGCTTCTGGATCAATTGGGCATGTTGTCCCCGTTGTTGCATTCTTGCTAGGCTCGGTTCTTACACCATTGTTCTTCCCTTTCCCTTTCTTTTTTTCTTTCCTCTTCTTTTCTGTTCGGGCCTCTTCAACTTGCTCTCGATTGGGATGGATGGTTTTTTCGGTGTTTTTTTCTTCTTCTTCTGCTCAGTCGTCGCTCTTGCTTCTGTGTGGAATTGTTGCGGCCACTGTTCTCTCATTTTCTTCTGTTCCACTGCTGCTGTCATGGTTGATGGTTTTCAGATTCTTTTCCTTGTACTCCATGAAGTCCAAAGGTTTTCCAGCTAAAGTTCTGTGTTTTCTCGTGACCCGGCACAATAATCCATCGCTGGCTGCAGAGTTGGCATGTGAGGTGGGCCGATTTGGCCATTGTTTTTTTGTGACGAGATTCCATCTCTTTGTGGCTTTCTTCTTCTTCTTCGTCTTCGTCTTCCTCTTCTCTTCCTTTTTTGCTGCTGTTTGATGGAATGGGAGAGCTTATTTCTAAGTTAAGCTCTGCGACTTCTCCAGGCAGCTAGCAAAGTGTTGGTTGAAACACGGGTCCAGGCTGCTCGTTGTTGGCTTTGGAAGCTTTAAAGTTGGTAGCTGGAAGGAGAAAATGACTCGCCATGACCGTGAAAGAGGCTCTACTATGCAGCAGTGCTCTGTGAGCGTTTTTTTCTCCTCGGGCCTCTTCCAAATATAAAAGGAAAGCTCTCGTACGAGCGAGCGCGGTGGAACAATCTTCTCTATGGTGTTTTTGCCCGAGTTTTCTTGGCTTGCATTGTTTGATCTCATTCGAGAAGGAGCGCTCGATCATTTCTTTTCTTTTTCCGTGCGTTATTTGTTTCCAACAACTTAGTGGTTTCTCTTTTCCTTCCTTACGCTTTGTAGTACGTATGGTGGGTTTGTTTTTCATACTTTTCTTTGCTTCCCGGTGCTGCCTTTGCGAGTCTTTGCTGTATATATACATATATATACGAGTGTGGTTTTAGTCTGGCTCTTGTGTTTCGTTTTCTCTCGCTTTGTTTTGAGTGCTTGAGGTGAGATACTTCTCGTTTTTCTTACTGATAAGGTTTTTGGAGCGTACAAGTTTGATTTGAATGCGGAATGGGAATGTTTTCGTCGCAGTTTGTTGGTGTATATATAGATACTCTGTCAGTAGACTCCTCGCTCTTGGATTACTCTTGTTACATTCTCTCTCTTTTTTTTCTCCTGGGACTAAAGTTTTGTGTTGGTGTTCTTGATCTGGTTCTTGGAAAAGTTTGTGCATTGATTGAGTTTCTAGAGCTGTGCAGTTTGAGTGAATCTCCAGATCTTTGCAGCAGCAGTGCGGCAGTCAGTGAGTTTGATGATAAATGGATTGATATCTAGCAAGCTTTCATTTTCGTTGTTCTTGTTTTTACAGTGTTTTTCCTTTTCCAATAATTTTTTTTTCTTTCTTTCCATTCGTTGCTTTCCTGCCAGATGTCCGTGCCGCTTCTCCAGTTTTGCTCAGCAGCGTGTTGTGCAGCTGTTTGGATGTTGAAGGCCTTTAATGGCTTTTGGTACTGTAAGTGACCGAGTTCTTCCTTGCATTTGTTTTTCTTAACTCTGCTTCTTCTTTTCTTTCTTTGTTTTTTCCCCTCGGTGTTCTATGAATGCGAGTGTGTTGTGCGCTGCAGTGGCTTCTAATGTCCAGGTTTTTTTTTTTTTGTTCTTCCAGCAGGAGCTAGTTCATCTTGTCTTTCTTGAGCAGTCATAAGGTAGCCTTTGTGGAAAGCCCCATTCGATTCGTTCGTCTCAATCAGCATCAGCAGTATGACGATCTCTCGATTCAGAGCAACAAAGTTCCTTGCAGGAAAACGAGAGAAATAGAAGAAGTTGAAGTTGAAGAAGAAGCTTCAAAGTTCTTGTGGCATTCTACATGGACTGCCTTATGACTGCTCAGCAGCAAGATTCGCTCGCGTGCTGCTGACAACAAATCTTTCGATTGGAGCAAACAGCAGGTCTGGATATGGAACAAGTTTCTCGTCATTGTTTTCTCCTTTATCTTGTTTTCGATTCGTTTCCTCTCAAGCAATTCTCTACCAGGTGAAAGAACTCGTGGCGCTGTAACATTTTCAAGCTGAGAATGGAGGTGAGAGATTGTTCTCGTTTTCTTTCGTTTTTCTCCTCCTTGATTTGTAAACAAGCGATGAATCGAAATCTTCCTTCCCGCATTTTTCCTTTGCAAGCTTCTAGAAAAAAAACGAGAAAAAAATATACACTGTGCCTCGGGGGTGGTAGAAGGAACTACCCGCATCAAACGAGCGGCTGGATTTGCTCGGGTATCTCTTTTCGTTGTTTAGGGTTTTAGCCAGGGAAGGTAGCGAGGATGGAGGCGGCGCGCGGCTTGGGCGCTGGAGTGGCCGCCGGGACCATCAGAGCTCCACATTTGCTGCCAAGATCATGGGCGCCCGAGGTATCTATGCTTGCTAGCGACGATTCTATCCAAAACGATGGATGCTATTTGGCAGGAATCCTGTAAATCTAGAGGACATGGTGTCGTCCGCGCATTGTTTTGGGGAAAACCGCGCTTAAAGTCTCTGGAAAGAGAGTTTTCTTTGTCATCACAACTACAGTCCGATGGAGTTGTCGCGGCGCAGGTTTTTCATGTTTTTTTTCAAAAAAATTTTTGCTCTTCTTGTGCGTGAATTTTGCTCATTCTTGCAGGGCTCGTCCGATCAGCTTACGACGATTACAGTGAGCCTGGTGTCTACGATTTCTACGATTCCCGCGGATGATTGGGATGCTTGCGCACTTGATGCTGCCGGAGGTGTCTTGAATCCATTTGTTACCCACGCATTTCTTTCGTGTTTAGAGGATAGCAAAAGTGCTGTTGCGGTGAGTGATGTACTATCTTTTCTCACTCTTTTTCTTACTGTTTCGCGGTTTGTAGGACGAGGGATGGCTTCCACAGCATTTAGTTGCCAGAGACGACAATGGAGCGGTTCTTGGAGTGGTCCCGTTGTACTTGAAAAGGTGATAGCTTGATACAAGCGAAGGTTACTATACGTTTAGCTGCTTTTCTTTTCTTTGTTCTGTTGCAGTCATTCATACGGGGAATACGTCTTCGATCATTCATGGGCCAGCGCTTATCGGAGCTACGGCCATATGTATTACCCAAAGCTCCAGTCGTGCGTTCCTTTTACTCCAGCCACAGGGCCGCGGATACTTGTGCGTCACGGTCCATTGAAGCAGCAGGTTTTCGCTGGCATTTGCAAGGCGCTGCGGGAGCTCGCACATCAAGTATGAGAATCCGAGTACCACATTTCTGGCTGTGTTGTCGAAGTAAACTGTTACTCTCGGTGTGTTTTTGCTGCGTTGCTAACCAGGGGATTGTTTGAGTTGCAGTCTCAAGCGTCATCTGTTCACGTTACTTTTGCAACTGAAGATGAGTGGAAAGAGATGGGCAAGCACAACTTCTTGCAGAGGATGGGTGTACAGTATCACTGGTCCAATGCCGGCTATAAAAGGTATTTTATTTCGCGTGCTTGGTGATTGATGTGTATCTATCTTTTGCAGCTTTGATGACTTTTTAGCGACTTTGAGGCATACCAAACGAAAGCGTATTCGTCAAGAGCGCAAGAAGGTAAGAGCTTTCCAAGCGTGCATAGTTTTTTTTCTTTTCTTTTTTTTTTTTTTTCTTGAACAACTTTGGATGCTTGCGTTCATTCAGATCCAAGACCAAAAATTGAAGCTTAAACGCCTCCGAGGAGATGACATCAAGGTATCTTCATCCCTGACTTACGACGTTGAGTTCACGTGTATTTCCAGGCACACCATTGGGATGCGTTTTTTAATTTCTATCGCAACACGACAGATAATAAGTATTAGAAGTCCGCTTCGGTTCCAGTTTGCTGACATTCTCGATTGCATCGCAGATGGGGTCAGGCATACTTGACGAGGGAGTTCTTTCATTTACTGGGCTCTCGACTTGGTGACAAGGTGCTGCTCGTAACTGCTGAGGATGGCGAAACGCTTGTGGCGGGAGCTCTCAATCTCATTGGCGACGACACACTCTACGGTCGTAACTGGGGCAGCCTTCCCAACGTTTTCTATCCGATGCTTCATTTCGAAGCCTGCTACTACCAGGTACTTGATCCAGTTCTCTTTCTCATGAGCAGGATTTGGAAACTCTCCTTCACAGGCGATAGAGGCCGCAATAGAATGGAAGCTGAAAAAAGTTGAAGCTGGAGCTCAAGGAGAGCATAAACTCCAGCGCGGCTACGTTCCAACCGCGACTTACAGCGCTCACTACATTCCCGATCCAGACTTTCGAGCAGCCATCGCAGATTTTCTCATTCGTGAAACAGCTCAGGTACGAACTTCGAAGAGATCGATAAAAAAAAATTTTCACGCCTCTAAACTGGATGTTCCAGGTAAAACTCGTGATCCAAGTTCTCGACGAATCCAGCCCATACAAAGCAGTGGAGGAGATACCATTAGAAGTGAAGAAGAAAAGAAGTGATTAATTAGCATGTAAGAAGTGATTTATTAGAGGGAAGAAGGTTAATTAGCTTGTCCCCTCGTGTATTAACTGTTGTGGCTAGTTAAAAATATCTGGATGGAATGGCTTTAGTTTGCTGATTTGGCCGTGGGGTTTTAAGCCCTGGAGCGCGGCCATGGCCGTCTCGATCGTCTCGGTCCAATGCTGGAGCGTTCCAATCGAGGCGAGCGGCGGCATTGCGGCATCGGCGCCATGGAATTCCAAGGTAAGCGCCGGATGCCAGCAGGCATTCTTCCCGGTTCTTGCCAGAGTCCACACGAAGGAAGCAATCCAGCTCGACTACCTGGCCGATCAGAACGCGGCGAGGAAATACACGCCGGCGTGGAGCGATCATGGCAGCAGGAAGAGCTTTGTGGAGCTGAGCGGGGATTTCTCGTCCGAGGGAGGCGATTGCATCGATTCGCTAACGCATCTTCACAAGCATCTGGAGCAGGAGCCGGCGATGCACAGCCCGCTGGAGAAGAGCGATATGAAGAGGCTGAATGAGATTCTCAACGAGAAGCCTAAAAAGGGAATGCTGGCTCTCCGGGAGAAGTTTGCGAAGCTGGGAATGAGCTATAACGTTGATCCAGAGAAGCTCATATCCGGGGAGTATATAGTTCACAAGAAGGTTGGAATTGGCCAGTTTGTGAGCCTCAAGGAGGAAGTTCCAGAGGGTGGAAAATCGCCACAAAAGTACGTCTATCTTCGATATGCCGATGGTATGGCTAAACTTCCCGCGAAGCAAGCTCGGCGACTTCTCTACAGATACTTCAGGCATAGTTCTTTTTTCTTTGTTTTCTTTTCTTCGTTTTCTGGATTTAAGATAGTTTTTCCTCGTGTTTTGTAGGCCTGGTGAATCGGTGAAAAGATATCCAGCTCTCAGCAAGCTAAATGATCGAAGCCAGTGGGAGAAACGAAGGACTGAAGGAAGCTTGGACGCTCAGAGGCGGGTCGTGAAGATGATCGATGTTTATATCCGTCGTTTGAAGCAGAAGAGACCCGTGTATTCGAAGGACGTTCCTGCGATGAGCAAGTTCGCTGGAAAATTCCCGTACACGCCAACACCGGATCAGATCAAGGTAAGAGTATTTTTTGCGAGCTTGAAAAAATGCTGAGTGGTTTTTCTTCTCAGGCATTTTTAGATGTTGAGCGAGACTTGACCGACGCGGAAACGCCAATGGACAGGCTTATTTGTGGGGATGTTGGTTTTGGAAAGACTGAAGTTGCTATGCGTGCAATATTCTACGCAGTCTCCGCAAAGAAGCAAGTCATGGTTTTGGCTCCGACGACCGTACTTGCTAAGCAGCACCATGAGAGCATCAAGGAGCGTTTTGCAAATTTTCCAGACATTAAAGTGGCTCTTCTCAGCCGGTTTCAGGTATGGCACAACTATGTTATAAGGTTCCATGCTTATTTGAATTTTTTTAATGGCAGAACAACGTAGATAGGAGAGCGGTTATTGCGGGAATCAACGATGGGGTTGTAAACATTGCCGTTGGAACTCACTCTCTTCTTGGCAACAATATACAGTACGAAAAAGTTGGACTTTTGGTTGTCGATGAGGAACAGGTACATTCATTCCTGCCTTTGCATTTTTACGCATACCTTTTCGTTTTTTCTTTCCAGAGATTTGGTGTTGCTCAAAAAGAGAAGATTTCAACGCTGAAGACGACAGTAGACATATTGACTCTGTCCGCGACGCCGATTCCTAGGACACTACACATGGCATTAAGTGGCTTTCGAGATGCAAGGTAGTTTTCCTTTTGCACGTAAGAGTGTTATACTTATGTGCTTGAAGTTATCCCTATTCAGCTTGATGACAACACCACCACCGGAAAGGCGGCCCATAAAGACACATGTATGCGTCTACTCTCAGGACATGGTGAAAGATGCCATCAAGGCTGAACTGGATCGACAAGGCCAAGTCTTCTATGTTGTACCCAGGATTCAAGGTAGTAGTGATGATTCTCTATTAGCTGGTCACTGATGATGACACTAAGACCCTTTCTACAGATATGGAGTCCACCGAAAAGAAACTCAAATTGCTGGTTCCTGGAGTACAAGTATCCATTGCGCATGGCAAGGTACCGTGATTAAGTTTTGAGCATCTCAACGTAAGTATATGATTTCGACTTCAGAAATGTGCAACTGAGCTGGAGGCAACAATGACCAAGTTTACTGAAAAGGGGACGAGCATACTCTTATGCACCAACATTATTGAAAGTGGGCTGGACATTCCAACTGTAAATACAATTATCGTGGAGAATGTACAGATGTTCGGACTTGCACAGATATATCAGCTTCGCGGACGGGTTGGGAGAGCAGACAAGGTAGCGCATGCCTATATGCTGCATCCACCCAAGGATTTTCTTAGTTCCGATGCACTGGTACGAAAGTCTCTTAATTCTTCTTTCTATATAGAAACTTTTCGTTCCAGGAAAGATTGAGTGCACTCGAGGACTGTTGTGCACTAGGCCAAGGTTTCCAGCTTGCTGAAAGAGACATGGCCATTAGAGGTATTGGAAGCATTTTTGGCGAGAAACAGAGCGGGGAATTCAGCAAAGTTGGAGTCGACTTGTACGCAGAAATGCTTTTTGAAGCAATATCGAAGGTAAATTCTGTTAATTCTCACAGCTTTTCCTGACTATCTTTGCGGTTTAGGCGCAATACCATAGTCTTCCTCAACTAGAGTACGAAGATGTGCAGGTAAAACGACACATGTGGATTTCTATGTGACCTGACCAATGGCATGCAGCTTGCAATGGAGTCGAACTGTCAAGTCTGTAGCTTGAGTAGCATGCAGTGGGAAGCAGTCACTGATTCAGCTGAGGAAGCGGCGAAAAAAGGTATCAAAGATCTTGTTCGTTTTACGGAGAATCTGCGCAGTGAAAGAGGAAAGGAACCACCACCTCTAGAGGTACGTAATTATGTTGTAAAGCTTACAAATAATGTGTTTTGTGACCAGGCTCTTCTAAAGACCATTTATGCGAAGAGAATGGCTGCAGATTTGGGAATTCATCACATTCAAACGAGAGGGAAACAAATAACAATGCTCACGAACATGAACGCCGACGCATTTCAAGTCCTACATTGTTCCATGGCCTCCCCACCTTTAAAGTCCTCGCTTAGCTTTTCCAATGGGAGATTGGAGGTTTGTTCTGAAATCGCCGCGTTACAGTTTCTCATTAAGACATTTTTTTCTTGCAGCTACACAGTCTAGTAGAGCTTCCCTCGGAGTTTCAGCTGGAAAGGTTGTTTCAATGTCTAGCTGAACTCCGGCGTGGGTTAGCGTCCTTCCTTACATACAGATGAGAACTTAACAATAGTAGAGGCAATTGTATAGCGAGAGCACCCGAGACCCGTTCTCATGGTTACGAAATCCTCGCAACAATTATAGCAGTGCCAGGAACCACCAGTGAATGCGCCTGAATAGACTACTACCAGAGGATTTACAACTTCAAAGCCAAGAAATATCAGATCAGTCAGTAATGTGCGTGAGAGGAGCTGCGAGAAGGGAATGTTCGGTTAACTTGGACTGCTTTCATACACAGGTCCCAACTAGAAGAATCCGATGTTAATTCCGTTCTAATATCTATCGAGGTATGCTATGCAAGCTTTGTTAGCTCTTGCATCTTCTGATAACAACAGCTTAACCAGGACATCGTTTCTCGAGGAGATAAAGCTACTGCTACGTAGAAACAGGGTGCATACATGGAAAGGACGGAACGGTAAAAGGTGAGCTCCCAACTTTGTTAAGGCGATAGCTTTGTTTTAAGATCTATGCTACAGAAAGGAAGGAAACAAGCAAAGCAAAGCTCTTCCAGGAGTCAGAAAGAACAGGTTTCCAAGTACTACTCTACTGCTGCTAACACCCATAAAAGCCGTCTTCTTTCTTTGTCCACGAACAGGGAAACAACCTGTTCGAGGAGCAACCTTCGCAGTGCACGGTCGACAGTACGTCGGGCGATGCGAGTACCAAAAGTCTATTTTTTTGGTGGGTGCTAGGAAGGAATGTTCGCTTCACTTGGCCTCACCTTTTGCTGCTCTTGACGTTTTCTCGCAGAATGCGGGCGAGAATTATGTGTGCAGTGCCACCCAAGCTCCTCTCGCCTCCATGATAGACCTTTGGCTCTCTCTGGCAGCTACACTACATACCCCAGGTTCTGGATTCTAACACTTCGATTTGATAAACCACTTAACTTCATCACGGGTTTTGCATTGAAACTCTCTCACTCGTCGCAACTCATGTAACAGCGCAAATTCCCGTCGCTCGACCAGCGACGACAGCAGCAGCAGCATTAGAAAAAAGTGATCGCTAAGCCCAAGGATTTTGGAAGCCGAGATGAAAGGAAGAGCCATGAGAGTTAGTGTACCGTGGCAGGAGCTTGGCAGCGTTCCCATGCGTCCAGTCGAGGGAGCTTTTCTTTTTTCTTTGAATGGGGTCAACCTGACACTCACAGACCGTGACTCGAAACAAAAATTCGCGTTTCCCGAGAGCTCGGGCTCCACCTCGGACTCCACATCGGACACCCGAGATGGGAATATTCGAAGGCGGCATGTGAAAGATACCAAGGCATGGAATATACTCTCGCCTTTTAGGGCGCTTGGCGAGTTCGTTAGGCCGCCGGCGGCCGTACGTGACAGCGACGGGCCGAAATTCGCGACGGGTCGGTACGTACGGCGGGGGAATTGGCAAGCTGTCTCACACGTGCCGTTGGCCATGGCCTTTTTAACCGGCCCACAAATAGGGCAGACGTACGGCCGCCACACTTACCATAGAGACACACCTTCAGTAAAAATGCGGCAGCCTGATAGGCCTGCTTCTTCGTTGCCTAACACCGCTGCTACTACTACGTCTTCCACTAGCCGGCGCGGCGACAATGGCCAGGAGCTCCCCGAGGAAGGCCAAGGCGCTAGGGATTACCGCCATTCATCCGCGGCGGAGCCTTCTTCCTCCTCTCCAGCGCCGCAAGATTCATCCATATCGCGATGGTCTCGCGGTGAATCCTCTAGCGCGCCCCGACGGCTGAGCGCAGCGGCGATGGTGGAATCCGGCGGCGCGGCGGCGTTCCTTCCGGAATCTGTCGTCGAGGCCGTCGCCGTGGAGGCCGCGGCAGCGGCCGCGAGAGCGCATGGAGCGATGGCGGCGTCGCGGACCCTAGCGTGCATATTTCAGGTTTGTGGCTTTCCATTGCATGGATCCACATCCGTGATGCATCGATCGACGTCTTTGTGTGCTTGGCTGCCCGAAAGATTTCCTGCGCTGCTCGAAACATCGATCTTCTTGCACGGATTGCTTGTTCTTGGTGTCGATATTTCGATCGGGAAGATCTTTGCTCGCTTTTCTTCTCCTCGCGATTTTCTTCTATAAAGATCTCTTCGCTGATACAAGTTTCTTTCCGCCAGGTTTGCTCGGTCTGGAGATCTGTCTCACAGTCGGAACTGCTATGGGAGAACGCTTTCAACGTCGTCTGGCCAACGCAAGCCCGCCAGCCGGAGCGCTCCTGGCGGCGGGAATTCCAGCGAGCCCACACGACCGCATCGAATTTCCGCCGAGGCCGTGCCCGTCACACGATCCTCGTCGAGGAGGAGACCGGCGGGAGACACTACGAGCCACCACGCTCGCTGGCCATCTCCAATGACTACTTGGTCGGGGGCCACTTTGATGGAGCACTTCGCGTCTTCGACCTCAAGACCAAAGCGTGCGTGTGGACGTTACGAGCCAACCAGGAGGAGGGTTTCGGTCCCTTGTCCCGAGCCATAGCGGGGATCTCACTGCAAGGGGACGACATCGTTTTTGGGTCAGTGGACGGGAACGTGTTTACTGCAAGTGCCAGCCGAGGGAACCGGGTGAGAGTTCATGTGGGGAGAGTGATCCAGGACGGGGCACTCATCAGTTTCGCCGCGAGCCAGCGATGGTGGATTGCTCTCTACGCTGGGAGCGTCGGGCACTGCTTCCGGCTGTGGGACGCTGCCACAAAGCAGGTGGTGTACAGGGGTGGCAACATGACTGACGATGATGCAATGCGGGGCTGGCATATGCTCGTGGAGCGAGCCGGGCGAGTTGGCCGCGTGAGGATAGTGAATGAAGAGCTGCTCGTCGCTGCCAACCGGCGGAGGATCAGGGTTCACGACTTGGGGACTCATGGGATGCCACTGATCGTGGAGAGGGATCAAGAGGCGGAAAACAATGCCGTGGAGGCCATGGACGTGAGAGGGAACAAGTTGCTGAGCGCGTCGTATGAGGGGCTTGCGCGGATACGGGAATTGCCGACGATGGTGGAAGTGTTGACGGTGCGGCATGCGGGGGTGCATGCGAATCCGAGGCTCCGGCCAGATGATCGGGAACAGATGCAGCAGCTATTTGGCACATTGAATTCTCGACAGCTGTTCCTATGCTTCTCCGGGGCTGTCAATGCGTGGGATTGTTCGTCGGGCGAGCATCTGTATTCATTGCGGGAGGAGACGGGGTACATGTACAACGACATGGTTGCTAGCGATTCGTGCCTTGCCGTGAGCTCGCGGGATACGGGACTTCACCTGTGGGACTTTTCTCCTGATCAGGGCGATTGAAACTCTCGCTTGATGCCCGTCCACTCTCCGGCGTGAGGTTGGTTGGTGTTTCTCGGTTGATTCTTTAAGAGTGATCTTGCTGCTGTTGTAACAGTTAGGTGCTGTGCGGAGTGAGAGGCCTCTCTTTGATTCTGAGGTCGGTGCCTGGCGGATTGACAGGCAGCAAACTGTTAGGAAGTGCGAATCAATGCAAGTTCCTTCGCTGAGATTTACAGTATATGTGATCCTCTTCGGTTCATAAAGCTGGCTTCCGCGCCTAGACACTGGCCAGTTGATATCTTGCTCCTTTTTCCTCACAGGATCATTTACAGAAGGCACGCATTGCGCACATCAACATCTGGTTCGTAATAGGAGGTACGTGGATCGAATGTGATATATTTGTCTTCGTATTTGTTTGTGTGAGAGAGACAGGGGAAAGAGGGTGGACAACTAAAGAAGAAATACGGTTATGCATTGCTGTGATTGAGAAAGGCCGGGAGGTAATGTGAGAATTATGCCTTTGTAGTAACGAATTTACTCGCTTGTTTGTATATGCAGGTGTTTCTTTCTCGTGGTGTCAACCTCCTCCTGGTTTAATGAACGCTGCGCAAGAGAGGAAGTGCTGCACTGAACCGTCGTGGTACACCATACAGCATATACAGCTTGTGCAGCGGCGGGCGAGGCTTGTTGTCAAGCTATTATACAGCAAGTCATGATAAGCTCTGAAGGTACCTCACCTACCGTTGCCTCATTGCATATCATAAGCTTGCCAAGGCATCCCTCCTCTTGAAGCTTTAACTTTTCTTTTCTCTTCTTTCTATGTATCAGCCTGACACGCTGGTTTCCTCTAACTCAACAAGTCCTGCCTTGACTCCGTTCGTCTTCTGGGGTCGACTAGTCCGTAAGTTCAATTAAGCTCCTTTCTCGGTCTCGAAACGAGCTCAGTCATTCAGGATTTCAAGAGGTTTTTTTGTTTTGTTTGCTCTCTCTCCTTTTTTTTCTGGTGCCCTGGGAACGCTCACATGCGGTAATAATGCATGGTATGCTTCTGGCTATGCGTCTCTTCGCTTCTCTGTCTGTTTTTCTCTCACTTTATCGTCTTTCTTGTTTGTCTTTTTCGCTGAGGACGCGACGCTGCTTGGTTCTGTGCAGTTTTCTCAAACAGGAGATTTCGAAGCAGCAGATACGTATGTGCCGCTAACACAAATGGAAATGTGGTGATGAGAATCAGAGCCAGCCAGCTGCATGTGAACGCGAAAAAGTGCTCTCTGAAAAGAGTTTCTGTTTTTTAACTTGGAGGAGACATATGCTACAGCTTGCAGCACTAGTAACAGGTCTGTAGCTGCTTTTTTCTTCCACTAAGCATCTCTTGTTAACGGAAGTAACGCTGGGAAAGCCAACAGGATGTGTTCTATGCCGTCTTGTCTCGCTGACCACATGTTGGGATTTAGCCATTCCTGCCCGACAGGCTGGGAATTGTTTCAATTCCCACAGAGCGTATCCATAGTGTCTGCTGCTCATAGAGAAGGGTTGTTTTTCTTGGGCGTATACAGGTACATTTGTTATTACAGCTCTCTATCCAGGCAAAACAGAAGCGATTTGACAGGGCGAACGAAGGTGAGTGGTCCCATTCATATTTTCTAATTTTCTAATTTCATACGTAGTCATGAGTTCTTCATGTTCGAGTTAAGCTAAGTTGCTGCAGGATTAGAAAAATCTCGTGAGACAGAAAGACAGATCTGTCACCGATGTTCGTTCCAGCATGATGAGAGGCGCTTAGTTTATTCACTCGACACATGGAGATAATATGATAAGGAAGAAGCGTGCAGAGTTTTTCAATTTTTTTCCTCTGAAATCTAATTTGGAATCTAACACCGACTCTTCGATTACTGTAGGAGATTTCAGCAACAACAACCTGCATGAATGATTTCTCGTCAGCAGAGTGGTCAACACTGTGGAGTAGTAAAAGCGCAACTGCATCCATTCAAGCTAACACTAAAGTCAAGTAAGTACCTTACGAAACAGTAGAAGCAACTGCACTACTAACAGTAGGAAGGAGGAGCCAAGCAGCCATCTCCTTTTTAGTCCTTTCTTTGCATTGTCGCTGGAATGCCGCTGCTGCGTCATTGCCAATGATGAGGCTACGGCTATAAAAATTCCTGGGACGATTTTGCAGATCCTTCCAACTACTCTGTGATGCATTGGCTGTGCTTCCTTCCAGCTTGAACGCTTTTATCCGATGTACGCTGCATCGCCACCACGTTATTTTATAATGCAAGCTTGTTGAGAGTAAGCAATCTTAGAGATTTTGTTTTAAGAGTTTTATCATCGGATTGCTTTCTTTAAGACAGCTCGGAGATGGCTGTTGCTTGGTACCCGTGGTGGCCATCTCGACCGTGTAGCTGAATCCATCGTCGCCATTGACTCTGAATTTACCTCGAAATCGCTGGCACCAGGAACGAAGGAAATAGAGGTAAACAGCGTGAAAAGATACGATGTTTTAACTTCGAGAGTTTGGCTACAGAACCTTGCTGCCGTGTGCCAGTAGCGAGGAGTGAAGCGCTACGGTCTTGTTCTCGGTACCTATCTGGTCAGGTGACTCATGGACGAGGAACGTCCGGAGACTTAAACCGAGAAGCTTTTCTTTGTACAGTACCTGAGCTTCCGCGAGTCCGGTGCTTTGTGCGATGACAACCTCGATTGAACCATCGGGCTGGGCCTCCAGTAGCCACCCTCGGCGTGCTTAGGCCCCCCGGACGGTGCCTGCTGGGCATGTCTTTTGCGTGTAGGCCATAACTTGCTGCGGAACAGGGCCATGGTACGTTGAAATTCCTAGATTCCCCCGCCAAGCTGACCAAGGAATTGATGACAGAAATATTTGCGGGGCCGAGCAAACAACAGAAAGAGAGAGACATTACTGTAGAACCGAGCCACCCGGAGCCAGTCAAGTACTTCTTGACGAGGTGACGATTGAATCGAGTCGGACATCCCCGAAGGTCTGCTGTTTGCTTTCTTATATAAATCGATAACGTCAAACATGCTGTTTGCGATTCTGATGTGGATCGGATCTTCTCGCTGGTGCAGCAGTATGGGGTAAACTTGTTTCTCATTTTTTTCGTGGAAAAAATGTACGTAGCGACGTTTTGTTTGATGTAGATGGAGCACAGGTGGCAGAAAAGATTCTAGCGGTGGGTTTGTAGCTCTGGCTAGAGGATACCCTTGATTCTGTGACGGCATTGCTGAGAAACCTGGGAGTTCGTTTAGCTGGAAGATTGTCTGGCGAGTCTTTGGAATGTCCATTTATATATGATTTGAGTATTCTGAAGAGTTAACCTGTACAAAACAGATATGATTTGTGGCTTGCAACATATAATTGTGACTGGCTTCATCCAGGTTTGAACTGGAGACCTTCAGTGTGTTAGACTGACGTGATGACCAACTACACCATGAAACCATTAACAAAACTTCATCTTAAGCCAGGACCACAATATATTCTTCGATAAATAAGTTATCCAAGCACTGGAGGCTTCTCATGGAGAATGTTGGTGCTTATCAAGGTATGCAAACTTTTCTTTTGAACAGATCGGAGTGATTTGTTTTATTCTCCTTGCTTATCATGGATCGAGCCCCAGATGTCCTGGAATACTGGTATGGACAGAACCAGGTTCTCCATTCTATAAGAGCTTTGGTACTGAAATCGGTTTCAAGATGTGCTTGTTGCCCCAGGAAGAACAACTATCAACTGCAAAGAACAACCATCATCCTAACATCCATATGGTCTTTCGTTTAGCTGGAATTATCTTTATCTTTTGTTATTTGTCCATTTAATTATGAAGAATATCAAGAGTTGACTAAAGGTTACTTGTGACAAAAATATATTTGGCTTCATCCAGGTTTGAACTGGAGACCTTCAGTGTGTTAGACTGACGTGATGACCAACTACACCATGAAACCATTAACAGAAACTTTGTCTTAAGTCAAGATTACACCTTGATAAGCACCACATTCTCCACAAGGAAGCTCCAGTCCTCAGGGAAGTTATTTAGCTTATGCAAACTTTGCTTCTGAACAGATTGCAGTGATTTGTTTTTCTCTCCCTGCTTATTATGAATCAAGCAAAGGCAGATGTAGTGGAATACTAGTATGGACAGAGCCAATATGGATTTTTATAAGAGCTTTGGTACCAGGGAGAACAACTATCGACCTGCTAAGAACAACCATCATCTTGTCAAGAGCTCAGTGCGCACTGTCTTAAATCAAGATTAGAAGATCTTTTAATTTCGATTATGATTCATACAATCCCATGGTATGGAAACTTGTTTGAAACTGCTTCTCAAAGGAGCTGCCAGTCGTAGCTCCAGATATCCTGGAATGCTGCTATGGACAGAACCAAAATGGATTGGTTCTCCATTCTATAGGTCTAAGATCACAAATTTTATACAAGCTCCGTCTCACGTCCATCAACCAACTCATATTACTGCTGTTCAGGAATTTAATTTACAATGAAAATCGTGCACTTTCGTGTTGACAAAGTCAGGTACCTTGTGCTCCAAGCAAGCTCAACGTAAAACTCCATCCTTCCTCATCTCTCGCAGCTCCAGCACTCAATTCGATGGCGGCAACAAATCGATCCGCATCCTCGAGCTCGCGATCCATGTTCGCAGATGGATTCCAGGAGCGCCACGATCTGGAGCAGTACTTCTGGACCGAGGCCACGGTCAAGCGGTTGACGCAGGCGCTCGAGGGGATCAAAGAGGGCGAGATCTGCTGCCTCACGACTCCTTCGCTCGCGCACGCCTTCTACTTCCAGCACCAGCGGACCGAGCTGCTGCTCGACGTGGACACTCGCTTCCGCTACCTCCCAGGATTCCGCTACTTCGACTTGCGGATGCCGGCCTCGTTGGGGTCCGAGCGAGATCATCCGATGAGCGTAATCGTGTTTGACCCTCCATTCTTCTACATTCCTTTGGAGGTGCTGTTTGAGGCGGTGACGAGCATCACCAAGAACAGAGCGAATTGCAAGCTGGTGCTGGGATTCCTCAGGCGGGAAGAAGCGGCTTTGCTGCGTGTGTTTAAGTCGTTTGGGCTCAAGCCCACTAAGTTTGTGCTCGAGTATGCCACGGTCAAACCCAACAAGTGGAGAAACTACACGCTCTACTCTAACGTTGACCTTCCATGCATCAAGAGAATCACAAAACCTTGATCTTGTTGGAACCGTAGAAAGTGTCCATTTTTTCGTTGCTTGTGTATACTTCTCACTCCAAAGGCACAAAGAGAATGCGAGAAACTGTAAAAAACTTGACAGCAAAAGATTCCTAAATGCAAGTTCATAGCGAGCAAGAATAGTTTTTGATGTTAGGACAGTGAAGACTGAAACAAGACTCACCGCCATAGCTGGAATCTCGAGCTTTAGATGCATTGCTGTGCTTCAAAGATTTATCATCAGCTTACTTTCTTCAGGACCGCTCGAAGATGAGGCATAAGCTGTTGATTAGTACCCGAGGTGGCCATCTCCACCGTGTAGCTGAGCTCATCGTCTCCAGTGACTTGGAAGCGCCTCGAAATCGCTGTGACCTGAAACCAAGCACAGCGTGAGAAAGGAAAAACACGATTGCTAACTTGAAGAGTGAGAACCTTGCTGGCGTTTCCCACTAGCGAGGAGTGAAGCGTCACGGTCTTGTTCTCGGCATCGTACGTACCTATCTGTTCAGGAGAAATGGTTTTGCTTCATTAGCACGAACGTCCGGAGACTTGAAAACGAGAAATTCGCTCTGTACAGTACCTGGACTTCCGCAAGACCGGTGCTTTGTGCGATGACAACCTCGAGCGAGCCATCGGGCCTGGGCCTCCAGTAGCCACTCTCGGCGTGCATAGGCTCCCCGGACGATGCCTTCCATGTCTTTTGCGTGTAGGCCATCACTGGCTGGAAAACAAGTCCATCGTAGTACCGGATGAGCAAACAAATCATGGCAAAAAAAATAAAAAAATGCAAAGAACAAACAAGAAGAAAACGCAAGCACTGACTCAAGGTTTGCAAAGAACGAGAAGAAAACTCGAGCAATGTCAAAGTTTGCAAAGAACTAACGAGAAGAAAACTCGAGCAATGACTCAAGGTTTGCAAACAACTAACGAGAAGAAAACTCAAGCAATGTCAAAGTTTGCAAAGAACGAACGGGAAGGAATCGCAAGTTTGGACACTTTCCACGCAGCGAAAGGAATTGATCGAGAGATGGACACACAAAAGAGAAGCTTTCTCCTCTAGAAGCAAGCCATTCCAAGGAAAAATCCCAAAAGTACCTTTCCAGTGTGCCAGAGGCGAATTTCCTCGCCATAGCCGAACGATTTGATGGTGGGAAAGCCGCCCTCCCCAGCTCCCCGCCAAGATCCCAGTAGAAAACCCAGCGGCGCCAGCGCTGGATGGATCGGCGGGAGAGTATCGGTCCTCGCCCCCTCCATCCCGAGCTAGCTATTCGCGCTTTAAACCCTTGGGCTGGGCGGACCCCCCATTGTTTTATATGCATTTTATTCAAATCAAACCATTGTTTTAGGGTTTAAGCGAGCGAGGGAATGGCGCGGCCGGAGGTTTGGATTCCTCCACCGTCTCTGCCGCTTCCTTACCCGCATTCTTGCGCCATGCTTGCAGGCGATCGTCGACTACAGCTCCGATGATGACAGCGGCGATGGCGATCCTGCCCCGGCCGCTCGCGATGATGCCCCGCCCAGTGATCGGGCCTTGGCCTTCGCCACGATGGGCTTCACGGCGGAGCAAGCCTGTGCTGCAATGCGCGTCCACGGCGACGACGCTCCGGACGATGTGATCATCGACTACATTCTTGCGATGCAACACGATGTAAGTTTTTTCTTTCTTTTCTTCTTTTCGTTTCGTTTCTTCTTGGTTTCTCTGACACACGAACGTTTGTTAGGTTGCTCCTCCGGCAGTGGCATCCACATCTAGTGCCATCTCTGTAACTGGAGATTCAGAGGCACAGTTTTTTCTTTTCTTTCTTTGGTTTCTCATTGCTAACTTCTCTGAAGCAGGAACTAGACGATAGTACTGGAAATGATCTCCTCCGCAGCATGGGTTTTTCCACTCAAGACATCGCTGAAGCTATGAGCAGCTGCGGTGAGAACGATCTTTTCTTTTCTGGTTTCTGATCTGGCGCAGGAAGTGGAGCGGCGATTCAAACGATCATTGCGTATATAATTGAGCATGGATCTGGCGCTCAGCCGGTAGAAATGTCAGCTTTTTCTGGTGTTGAGAATTCTTTATCTGCAGGACGAGGATATGACTGCGTTAGATACATTGACGACACTCGGCTACAGCTACGAGCAGGCGTCACAAGCAATTGCATCGTGTGGTGAGCTTTTTCCGTTCGAAAAGGATGTCTATCAAGATTTGCATTTTCAGGGGCGGAGGACATCGATGTTCTTGTCGATTTCCTCGCAGCTCGCGACTTCGACGCGTTCGAGGACGATCTGGAGGTAGCAGTTCCCCGGAAGAGAAAACGAGCGCGGGTGGAACATCACTCTCGTCCACTAAACGGTTTTGGCTCGCCGGACGAGACTCTGGAACGTCACTCTCGTCGACTGAAAGGTTTCGGCTTGCCGGCCGAGACTCCCATTCCCAGGAAGTAAGTATATGTGCGTTCTTTTGAGCTTTACATCTGATATTTGTTGTCGATTTCTTAGTCTCACCTCTACTCAAGCAAGGAAACCGTACTTCTACTTCGAGAATGTGCGCACGATGCCGAATGGATCCTGGGATATCATTTCCAACTCACTTTATGGTATCCAACCAGAGTTTGTGTGCGCGAGGTAGCTCCGTGTGTTTCATTTTTCCGAAAGCCACCATGCTTTGTTGCTTTCTTTTTTCCTTTGCAGCCATTTTTCAGTTTCTCGTAGAGCAAGAGGATACATCCACAACCTCCCGCTCGAGAACAGGCAGCTGATTCTCCCGATTCCACCAAAGACCATTCGAGAGTTCCTGCCAGCGACGGTGCAGTACACACCCGCCTGGGACACCCGGCAGCAGCTGAACTGCATCAACACCTGCGGGAACACAGCGTCCTTCTGCCGCAACGTCCAAAGGTTGATGGCCGCGGGCGAGCCGTCGGAGGAAGCAAAGAAGACCATCATGTCGCTCGTCAGGAGGTGGAACTTGGTGTGGACGGGGCCGGGGACGTGCTCGCCGCTGGAAGCACACGAGATCGAGCAAGCGCTTGGCTACGAGCGCGGACACACGCGAGGAGCGATCACGATCAACGAGCGCTTCAAGTCGCTCGGCAACACATTCCAGGTGGACGTAGTCGGCTTCCACCTCTCGGCGCTCCGTCCGCTCTTCCCCGATGGCATCCGGATGCTCTCGCTCTTCTCGGGCATCGGCGGCGCGGAGGTGGCGCTGCATCGAGCCGGGATCAAGCTAAAGTTCGTGGTGTCCGTGGAGTCCAACGTCGATAACAGGAGGATCTTGGAGAGGTGGTGGTCGACGTCGGGGCAGACTGGACAGCACCGGATCCTCGACGACGTCCAGGACTTGACGATGGCGGTGGTGGCTCGGCTCATGGAGGAGAGTGGTGGATTCGATCTCGTCATTGGCGGCTCTCCGTGCAACAATCTCACCGGGAACAACAGGTCGTCGAGGACGGGATTGGGAGGCGAGCACTCGGTGCTGTTCTTCGAGTTCTCGAGGATTTTGAACCTGGTTAGATCGCTCACGCGGTGAAGGTCTCTTATTTTTCTTGTTGGTAAGGTGGTTTCTCTCTCGTTTTCTCTCTTGACGATGTTTTTTTCTTTCGTGTTTAGCAGGATAGGAACACTCACTGATCGGCTTCAAAGGCCAGTTTTGTAGCATACCAACTCGAGTTTATACAGCGAATTTTTTCGCGGGAAGCTTTTAAGTCGAATTTCTTGTTTGGTGATTTTCTAGGGTATAGGGCTTATGGCGATGGCGCGGGTGGAGGCCGTGTTCGTGAGCGCCGGCTGCAACAAAACGGTGAAAGCCGCGGCGTGGGGGCGCTGCGATCTCGTCGCATTTGCGACGCATTCCTCTGTCGGCATCTTCTCGCCAAAGGTCTGGTTTTTTTTTTTTCTGTTCTTTGTTTTACGATCACAGTGGTCGATTGAGAAAATATTTGCTTCCGTTTCCAGGCATCGCAGATACTTGTATCGCTTTCCGGTCACAAGAGCAGTGTCAACTGCGTGGAATGGCTCGACTATACAGGAACAGGCATGGCATAAATTTCTTTCCTGGCTTTTTAATTCTCTTCTCTTCTCTTTCGTTGATGAATGTTCTTCTCAGATGCTGGTGAGTGCTTTATTTTATCCGGAAGCGCGGATGGGGTTGTGATCTTGTGGTCGTTTGTTCCATCACAGAAAAAGGTCTGCGACTGAATTTCTTTTTTGTTTTTTAGTTTCTCGTTCTCGGCTGAGTTTGCATTGCGATGTTCTAGTGGAGGATTGGTTCGCAAGCAACAGTTTCAAAAGGAGGCTCAGTGACCTGCATTGCGAGTATGATGATTTCATCCACCGAGGCATTGTTTGCGACAAGCACATCTGATGGCGGAGTATGTGTATGGAGTGCCTCTTTACTTCCTGGTAGGCTCTTGTTTGCAATTTTCGTTTTTATTGCTGGCTAAAAGCTTTCTTTGTTTAACAGGAGACTGCAGCCTTTTGCTTGTTGACACTGTTGAAATGGTAGTATCTCGGCCAGTGGTGGCTGTGGCAATGGCTCGTTTACCAGGAATTTCCGATATCACTATACTAGCAGTCGGAAGTTTAGACAACACCATCAACATTTACGCCGGGAGTAAACTGGAAAAGGTTTGATGCTTTGCTTTGTCACCCTCTAATTTTCTTTTTTCTCTCCAGTTTACTCACGCTTGCAAACTTAAAGGACATCAAGACTGGATCCGTGGTCTGGACTTCTCCGGCATCGTACATCAAGAGGATGGGGTGGAATCTCTCTTTCTGGCAAGCTCTTCGCAGGACAGGAACATCAGAATCTGGAAAATACGTTCGAGATCTCCTGGCGCTGCCTCGAGAGGTCCCAGTTTGAGAACTTACATCGAAGGTCCTGTTTTCCGGGCTGGTAAAGAAACCTGGCAAATCTCTCTCGAGTCGCTGCTCGTTGGCCATGAAGACTGGGTGTACTCCGTACGTTGGCAGCCTCTTCTGAAGAACAAAGTCCAGCCAATGTCGGTTCTGTCGTCGTCCATGGACAAGACGATGATGGTTTGGCGACCAGAAGCCAAGTCGGGGATTTGGATGAACGAAGTCACGGTTGGCGAGCTCGGACAAACGGCATTCGGCTTCTACGGTGGTGTCTGGAGTCCCGGTGGTGATGCCATCTTGGCTCACGGATTTAATGGCTCGTTCCATCTCTGGAAGGAAGTGTCGACTGGATGGATGCCGCAGCTCGTCCCGTCCGGGCATTTTGGTCCTGTTGTCGACGTTGCCTGGGCTTCGAACGGGCAGTTTCTGCTTACAGCGAGTCACGACCAGGTACGGCTTGTTCTTGCTAGAATTTATTCGCAGTGTGTGTGGTTTCGTGCTTTGCAGACTACCCGGGTGTTTACTTCCTGGAACAAAGACGCAGAGAACTCGACTTGGCACGAGGTTGCGAGGCCGCAAGTCCATGGCCATGACATGAACTGTCTGGCGATTATCCGAGGGAAAGGAAACTATAGATACGTAAGTGGAGCCGACGAGAAGGTTGCGAGGGTGTTTGAGGCTCCCACCGCGTTTCTAGACACGCTCGATCTTCTCACAAGCTCGAGTGGCAACGAGGAGGCGAGGCAAGGCGTCCAAATCCTGGGAGCAAATATGTCCGCACTGGGCTTGTCTCAGAAACCAATATATACTCAAGGTTTGAGACAAAAAAATGTTTTTTCTTTTGCACTACTAACTTCGTTCTCTCTTGCAGCCGACGCAAACCAGGATTCCCGTAGTAATGCGTTTGACAGTGAGTACGTGCCAAAGGCGGTTCCTAGTGTCCTCACAAAACCACCACTGGAGGAACAGCTCGTCCAAAACACGCTGTGGCCGGAGTCCCACAAGTTATATGGACACGGCAACGAGCTCTACTCGATGTGCTCGAACCATGGTGGCGAAATTCTTGCCACTGCATGCAAGGTATGCGAGTTTTGTATCTCTTGTCAACTTACTCACACAAAGTTTCACAGGCGCAAACTCCAAGCGTAGCCGAGATATGGCTCTGGGAGACAAAGTCTTGGCGGCCGATCACGCAACTTCGCTCGCACTCGCTCACGGTAACGCAGATGGAGTTTTCGCACGACGACCGCTTCCTTCTCTCGGTGTCCAGGGACAGGCACTTGTCTTTGTTCCGGATTACAACAGGTACGTTAGCTTCGAGCCATTTTCAGCTAGGTACCATTTTCATTGTGCCAGCTTTCCAACGCTTGCTGGTAAAACTCGAGGCCCACAAACGGATTGTGTGGACGTGCTCCTGGAGCCCGCACGACAACAGGTTTGCAACAGGCTCGCGGGACAAAAGCGTGAAAATCTGGTCGATAGTCGAACAAGAAGGAGACCAAGAACAAGAACAAGCCAAGGTGGAGCTGCTTTCGACACTGCCGAGTTTCGCAAGCAGCGTCACGGCTCTCGCGTGGGGGTCCAAGGATTTACTCGCGGTTGGGATGGAATCCGGGATGATAGAGCTGTGGAGCGTCGCAGCGAAACAAGCTCCCAGCCTCGTCACCAGATTCGACTCGCAGCTTTGTCATGCGGCGGCTGTCAATCGGCTGTGCTGGAGTGAAGATCAAGAGCGCTCGAGACTCGCGTCCTGCGGTGCCGATCATGCAGTCAAGCTGTTCCAAGTTAATACTTAACAAGTTTTTCTGAAAAAGGTGGCAAAAGGTTCCTTGGAAAAAGGTTTCCTTGGAAAAAGGTGGAAAGACCTTTTGGTTAGCCTAGTATAAATAGGGGAGAAACATTAGCCGTATCCTAAAGAAAAGAGAGAGAGAGAGAGAGAGCAGCGATGGAATCCTTTGGAGCTTACACAGTTGGGGCGGAGCTGGAGCGTGAGGCCTACTGGCCAGCAGCCAAGCTCCGGATTTGCATCACCGGCGCTGGAGGATTTATTGCATCACACATTGCACGGCGACTCAAGGCGGAGGGACACTACATAATCGCATCGGACTGGAAGAAGAACGAACACATGAGTGAGGACATGTTCTGCCACGAGTTCCATCTCGTGGATCTGCGCGTCATGGACAATTGCATGGTGGTGACAAAGGGCGTGGATCATGTCTTCAATCTCGCGGCTGATATGGGCGGGATGGGTTTCATCCAGTCGAATCACTCGGTCATCCTTTTCAACAATACCATGATCAGCTTCAACATGCTCGAGGCCTCCCGAATCAATGGAGTCAAAAGGTGTGGATTCTTCTTTTGGTTCCGAGAATTTGGAGCTCATTTTCCTTTTGGCTTGCAGATTCTTTTACGCGTCCAGCGCATGCATCTATCCGGAGTTCAAACAGCTAGAAACGAACGTGAGCCTCAAAGAAGGCGATGCATGGCCGGCAGAGGTATGTGAACGAAGAACCCTTTCTTTCTGATCTGGAAGTTGTAAAACTCTTGTTTTCCTTGCAGCCCCAAGATGCCTATGGGCTGGAGAAGCTGTGCACCGAAGAGCTGTGCAAGCACTACACCAAGGATTTTGGAATCGAGTGCCGGATTGGGCGCTTCCACAACATCTACGGGCCTTTTGGTACCTGGAAAGGTGAGCTTAGATTCTTGGAACTTCCTTTTTCTTCTCTTGCTCGAAGCTTAGAGTGTGATGGGTGACTGACAAATCGATCTCACAGGCGGACGAGAGAAGGCTCCAGCCGCGTTTTGTCGCAAGGCCTTGACTTCCACCGACAAATTCGAGATGTGGGGCGATGGTATGCAGACGCGATCCTTCACGTTCATCGACGAGTGCGTGGAGGGAGTCTTGCGACTCACCAAATCCGACTTCCGGGAGCCGCTCAACATCGGCAGCGACGAGATGGTGAGCATGAACGAGATGGCGGAGATGATCCTGGGCTTTGAAAACAAGCAAATTCCAATCCAGCACATCCCCGGGCCGGAGGGAGTCCGCGGAAGGAACTCGGACAACAGTCTGATCAAGGAGAAGCTGGGCTGGGCTCCCTCGATGCGACTGAGAGATGGGCTGCGAATCACCTACATGTGGATCAAGGAGCAGCTTGAGAAGGAGATGGCGGAGGGATCACACGACTTGGCGGCAGCTTACAGCTCCTCCAAGGTTGTGGGAACTCAAGCTCCAGTCCAGCTCGGCTCACTCAGGAAGGCCGACGGAAAGGAGTGATGCATTCCACATACAATAGTGTGACTTCAGTTTTTCTGGATTAGAAACACAGAAAGTTGACTAAAATTTGACTGTTTCCCCTAAGAAACCACTTCTAAATATAATGCTAACTCGCTTTGGGTAGTATGACCCGGTTCTCAATCTCATCTGTGAAGTTATATCTTCTTCTCCACAGAATCTAGAACAAGAGACAAAAATATCCATTTTTTATCTGGAGAGAATAGATGCACTTTACCTGAAGAGATCGTTGTTTCAATAGGATTTTATGACACTCGTAAGCACCCTTTCCTCTCTATGTAGCATTCTCCACACATGCTTAAGTTGACGATCAAGGTGCCTGAGAGCTAAAAAACACTTGCGATCTTAAATAGGCATAGAAACAAGCAACAACAAATGGGAGACAGTCCGGAAGGATGGAGAGAACCTGGAGATCGTCGAGGTGAGGCCGCAGGAAATGCCCCGATTCCTTGATATACTCCAGTAAGCTCATCTCGTTCGGGAAGAACTCGGCTAGAAGTGGGATGCTTCGCATTCGCTCCATGATCGGCTTATTCTCTCGTTAAGCTTTCCAGCCGG